AATAATAAAGAAGAAGAAAAAGAAGCAATTTGCTTGTTCTGAATAACTTAAAAGATAATAGGCAATTCAAAATGAAGATTAAACATGGAAAGTTTGACTTCAAATTGGTTATGCAGTTGGGAACGCAATGCAGTAAAATCTCTGCTACTGTGTTAGTGGAGAAAACGATATACATGTACCTCCATCCTTTTATTAATAGAATCAATAAAACGGTTGGGATTTACCAAAACAGGAACAAATAAGTGGGCAATCATGATGGATAATATATTTTTGTTTGTTAAAGGTAATGCGAAGTTTCAAATTCATGACCCTATCCTATACCAAAACTTGTATTACCTTTAACTTTACTTTTTAATTATTTTATGATGCAAAGAAATTAAATTGAAAAGGCAACACAAGAGGAGGAGGAAAGGCAAGTATACATAGTGATCCTCTCGATCAGGAATGGAGAACATGCACAGGTGAGTAGGTAGGCGTACAGTGGAAGTAGAAACTTTCATGTGGATTAAACAATTAAGAATTGGCACATTGTTGAGATTCTCGAGATTCATGAAAGCTAATTGAATCACAAACAATGCAGCACTGACTGTACTTATTGAGGTTTTTTGTCCTGGGAAAATCACTGTCCTTTCCATGTTGCCAAATTTTCTAGGTATACTGTCCTTCTCTTTCATATCAATGTATGCCAAATCCTGATGCAATATGTGACAGGATATAATGATTGATTGGTGCACATCTGTATATGTACATTTGACATTTTAGACTACTACATACACACTATTACAATGTTTCCCTTTTGTATACTGAATTTCAGATCACACCATCTGGATAAAATAACCCAAACACCTGTTCAAATAGGGCTCTATTAACACAAAGAACTGACCCAATACTACAATACGTATAAATCACAGATATTGAAGTATAAATTGCAGATAACACTTTGCTTTTCCCAAATAAATGATAGAGGTACGAAATACATGTAACTGTAGACAATACAATGTATTACATGTTGTGCACATAAATTATAAGTCAAAAGAGACTGGAATATATAAATTGTTTCTTTCTAATTTTATTACAGCTTTGAGGGTCAAGTACACTTCCAAAAAAGCCTGCTTTGGATGGCTATTTTTTTTTTTAAGGGGGGGGGGGGGGGGGGGGGAGGGAGTTACGGGTAATTTGAAAAAGAAAGAAAGACCTGGAATACAAATTTTCTATCATTGAGGGTGTGCTTGCAGATGAAGTTATATGATATATACAGAGCCTACAGTTGAAATTTATTCATGTTGATAAAACTCTATCTGTAGATAGTGGGGAATTCCCATAGTTAAACGCTACATTAAGAGGAACTAGTTTGGGAGTACTGGGAAAAACCATTGTTCTCTTTGTTAGCAGTACCAGTTTATTTCTTGACTTCCTGTTTCAAATGACATGTAACAGTATGAACAGGAAAAAGTCTCACCTTTCTTGTACAGGGTATGACAATGGGAATAAGGAGAAGGCCGTTCTTGAGAATAAAAGAAGTTGCTTCCTGGCCTCTCAAGTGCACATACTTGTACTGTAGTATGTTGGAACAAAAATAAATGCCCCTTCTCTTTGTATTCTCCTTTAGTGTTGCTCACTCAAAGACTGTTAGACACCATCGAGTACAAAGTCAATGAACCGGATAATTCCCGGACAATGTAAGTTAATGATTAATCAATTTATCAGGAGTAACATTGAAAAGGATAAGAGATAAACTCAAGGTAGTATCCTGCTTAGTGATGCCATTGTCCTTCATCAATGTAAGGTAAGGTAATCTCTTCAAGTCGCCCTTCACCACTAACAAGCAACAAATAACTTTCAGGGCTTTTGCTATAAGTAGATCAGTACAAATTTGTATGAAAAGGAAATTGTCAAGGAAATTAAAGTGAGGGAAGTACATGTATATGTATCTCTAACAAACAAAAATACAAACAAAAAAATTGATTTCATTTGGATTTCATAGGAGAGTGAACAAAAAGAATCCAATTAAGAAAAAATATTTTAGGAAAATACTCATCACAGAATGTTAATACAGTACATGTATGTGTAGAAATTGTGTACACTGATTCAAATTCAGAAGTAAAATTTTGTAAAAACTAAAAATTAATGACATGACAATTGGTTGGGAATGACAGTTTCCATTTAAAAGAGAAAAAAAAAACACTAAACAATCAACCTCTCTCCCCCCCCCCAAAAAAAAAAAACAACACAAGACATGCACAGATATGTAGTGAACAGTCCGACATAAACAATTAAACCAATGTGAGACACAGGAGTTTCTTTTTGCAGGAAAGCTCTTTATATTCATAATTGAGTTTGTACACAAAATCGATACAGCAATTTCCAATATGTGCCAGAGAATAAAGATACATGTTCTAGATACATTTATGTACATGACTTGGGAGATAAAAAATATTTACAATGTTATTGAACAAGCTAGTAGAATAGAATAATAAAAAGGTTGTATTCCTAACAGTTAATGTTTATTGATAGCTTGCATTATGTAATTATGATATATTTACATGGGCCTAGATTGGAGTAAAGGATGTTCACAGTACATATGTAGTATATATTTAGTAAGATAAAGAATATGGAATTACATATTTAAAAAGGTGCAGGATGACGATTTCCCAATCTGTTTATAAAGTTTTTAATGGGCCTGAACATTGAACGCAAAAAAGAGGATGTTTCCTAATTAACTATCATCACTCATATGCAGAAATTACAAATGACAAAATTTCAATTCATTTTCACTTCAATACCTAGGAAGGCTTAGGTTAACTTTACATGTGTCTTTATTTGTTACCAGAACTCAAACTTCTGAAAAAAATCTTTTAAAAACATAGTTGACAATTTGACATATCAGTTTTATCTCAATTATACAGCCATGTTCTGTATACTTACATGACTGGGTGTGTTTTAAGTTTTCAGAACTATGTACCGTTATGCAGATCATCAGCCAAATATAACTGGATGAGGGGGGAGGGGGGGGGGGGGTGAATATACACTTGTGGGTACGGATAAACGTCATGCTTCCGTGAATCACATAGAAACATGTGACTTCCAAGAGCTGTCTTCCTGTTATTCAAAACGTATATCCGGAACTTGGTTGCTACTCAAATTACATGTACATGTAGTTACAAATAAGGTAATGTTTTGACAAAACACTTAAAATTTTCAAAATTGTTGAGTAGAAGTTTCCAAATGTGTTTATGAAAGGTAAAACCAAATGCATTTAGGAAAGATAAATCCCATTCCTAATTTCCTTTTTCTTTTTGAGAACTGCATGTTAGATAGCAGTGGGTCCAGGGCCCCTTTTGAAGAAATAAAAACTTGTTATCAATAACAAGTTAGAATAACTGTTATAAGCTACTGAAATCATGGCATTTGATTGGCTGGGAGCAAATTCGTCATAGAAATTTACCCTTTGTTATTGATAACAAGTTTGATGAAACGGGGGCCTTGATCTGCTTTATATCAAATATACAGGGAAGTGATGACAATGAATTAATGCATGTGATATATCATGTAGGTTATGCACACATGTACAATTGTACATGTATAAACTATAAAGGCTGGACTTTGGACTCTATTTAGACAAGGAAAGAAGGGCAATTATAGAGCATGCATTACCATATATAGCTGTTATCAAACGTTTGTAATTCATACAACTTTGTGGACAAAGCTTTCACGATGTACACGTATACACAGAAACCTGACGTACAAGCAATTGAGTGTGTATGCAGGACAATAAAATACAGGATGTATAATGGTAATAGAATCCTGCCAGTATATGCACACACTGCAAAACCATAGCTTACAAATTCGGAAAGAATAAATCTAGACTGATTTGATTCTATAGCTTAGATGCACAATAAAAGTATGGTAAACATATCACAATGCTGCTGTTAAATCAGAGGTCAACTTTCTCTTAAACAGAAGCTGGAAATGAATTTGCATCTTTTAAAATATATACATGTTTTACCTATTGAATTTTTTAAAAAACTTATCTGTAGTACTAGTGTAAAGGTCAGTTTATTTAAACCATAAAGTACCAAAGTTCTAACATCATATTCCCTCATCGTCCAGGTTACTGTTTCCAAACAACAGTGCCTGGCCATGAGGACTTCAAAATCAATAAAGCAATGGACTGGAGCAGGGTAATTTCAGTGTTTGGTGGTGGTGACTGATAACCACACCATTATTTAGCACAAAATTGTTTGGAACCAGAAACCTTGACAACTTGGCCAGTATGACGTCACACTTCGGTACTCTATAAAATTAGATCTGCATGTTTAATAAGGTCATACTAAGGTCATTTCACAATCACATGACAGTCAACTCGGGCTATAAAGGTCGCTAAAGAGCAAATAGAAATAAGTGGCCACTGTACATACATGCCAACATTTGAAAATCAGAAATCTGTACAAATTATGCTATTTTCAAAAAAAAGAGGAACAATCCTAACTCTCCTACTCAATACTACAGACAAATCTGTACAGGAAGAGGAACACCTGCATTAAAATGATAATTATCTTCTCCCAAAAAGAGGAATGTTCCTCTTTAATCTGAACAGTTGGCATGTATGACTGTATTCAGGTGGCCTTTATATAAAGATGGACTTTAAAGTTAGCTGGTATGTGAATTGCATGTCGAGAGAACATGGCTATAGTTAATTCTGGATTGTTTATCCTGCAGTGGATAGTTTGTTTGAACCAGTAAAATAAAAACAAACTCGCAAAAACTTGCTGGTATTCATCTTCAATAAAAAAACCCACTCTCATTTGCATATAGTGACCTGTGTTAAGCACATAGTGTTAGGCCTACCGGTATTTTACCTTGATTTCCTTATCTTTCCATGCTCGTTAATCAGCCCCTATACATTTTTTACCAAAATCATTAGGCACATGTCATTTATTTGTAATCTTGAACATCCAGTTTAAGTTTTGGTGGATTCTGTGAAAATGTATTTTCTATCATTACCAGAACTCAAGCTTATCTTTAAAGACAGGCTAGACTATTTCTTTTATCACGGCTCTCTATATGCACATGCATGACTACAGTATTGCAAGAAGTCAGTTTTCATGCAGGCAAGTAAATAATTTCCTCCTTACACCCAAACTCAGTCAATCTCCCAAATAAAAGCTATTTACAAAGTTAGGAAATATTTACAAATAAAGATGAGCAAAGACAAATTAATTGTATCTCTATCTATATCAATTATTGCATACATTGTAAAGTTAGCATTGTATATAAATGAGAAATAAATATGTGCATATCTTTACTACATGTATTACTCAATAATTTGGTACATATTCTTCGCGATAACAGTACTTTTTTCAAAAACTTACTTAAAAGCTGACTAACTGAATACAATCTAGCATAATGAACCTTTTCCTTAAACATAAGGTAATAAAGGTATTGTTTGATACTTTATCAATTGGATTAATGACTTATTTATGGTACAGATGTAACACTAGAAATTATAATATCTTTTCACTACTATTTAAATGCTTCTCTTCAATTCACAGTTGACATTTCTCCAAGAAGTTTTCCTTTACGTTTTATTTTATCACATATTTTAGCATCAGCACTGATAGCAAATCAGTATTAAAAAAAAGAAATTCTAATGGAGCCCTAAAAATAAGTGAAGCGGTCAAAACATCATTTAAAATCAGGAAGAAAAACTAGAGAGAGAGAGAGAGAGAGAGAGAGAGAAAAGAAAAGAAGAAGAAAGCTCTTTTGACAGCACATTCTTACTGTCTGTGATTAAAAGACAACATGAATATCCCTTTACATGTCATGATGTGCAGTGTAGTCCTACAGGTCATCATCTAAGTCAGGCCTTCTCAACTAGTTTATTAGAAGCGCCAAAACAAAAATGAATTGAGGTTGAAGTGCCAACCTGTATGTTTGGTGACTGTGTTACGAGGGAGCGTAGCGACCGAGTCGATACCGGGTGGGGTTCAGGGGGCAAAGCCCCCGGAAGCTAGTGGATTTTAGGGCTTTTTTTAGGCCCATATGTGGCATTTCTAACACCTTTTTGTTCCATAAAACATCAATCATAATATCATATTGATGTGAAATAATTAGTACAATTCCTAGCTAAAATCTACACTAGAAGTTAATTTATATGTAGTTATTTTGGTGCAATAAACACGGAAATGTCAAAATGAAGTGAAAATCAAACAATCAAAATGGCTTGCTTACATTTTGGGCTCAACTTCGACTGCGACTTTTTGATTTTTCTGGCTTGTTTTATTTTAAAATCTAATTTGTTAATGTTGTTCTTTCTTTAATTTTTAATTTTTAATTTTCAATAATTTTTTGGAACAGCCGCGCGCCACTCTGACTGACCGCAAGCGCCATGAGTGGCGCGCGCGCCGCCAGTTGAGAAGGCCTGATCTAAGTCCACCCATCTAGGGGTCCTATGTGGGTGAAGCAACGGTGCTGCTACGGCAGTACTTTCTACTCTGCAGTTCAAGCTCCTTCTGCAATGGAAAGAAGAAAAACACAGAAAAGGAATTTGCAATTAGATTTTTATTTAAATGGGTAGTCTATACGAATCTCAAATTGGCAGTTTGGTCAGTGGATTGTGATAGTCACTGATAAAATATCATGAATTTATGTTTTTCTTCCAAGTACCTTCTCCTTTGGAGCTCTATCAAAAATATATATATTATGGGTAGCATATCATTATAGGTCCTCTGTAGAGAAAAGACTCTCCTGGGTTATTCATTTTTGAAAAATGAAATTTTAGTCATTTTGTGTGGGAAAGTTGTCCGCCAATACTTTTGTTGTTGTTGGAAGTTTAATCAAACTTTCACCTGTCTACTTCTCTGACTGTTCTGCTTTCCTCTAGAGTCGTTTGCTATTAAGGTTGGATTTTCCTCTAACATTTCATGAAAGTTTTTGTTTTACTTCTGTATATTGGATATCCCTATACTTGTATATATTAAACAAAACCTCCTGTACAAGTGTTGAAACAAGGTGTATAACCACAACAAAAATAGGAAAAAAGTTTGCCAGTCTTGAAATGGTTACTTGACCAAGAAACAACAGATAGGCTTGGTAGAATAATATTAAAAGATGTTTGGAATAGTCTTAAACATTTTTTCACAGACACCAAATACCTGAAATCAGTTAAGGTACCGACAAAATACACTCAAAACTTAAACAAAAGTTTGATTCATAGATCCCTACTTCAAATCCTCACCAAATTTAAGCAATGAATTTTTATTGCAAAGCTTGAATATTGAATGAAAGATTGCAGCATTTATGTCTCAGAAGCTATACTTGAAGATTGCAGTTCTTCATTGACAAGTACTTGACACAAGACCAAGAAGTACTCTATTGGGATCAAATCTTACTCCATCAAGATATAAGAATATAATTAATAGGAATTCAATATTTCTACAAAAGTAATCATTCTAATGCAGATATTATTATTATAACTATTTTACATTTGCTGCTCGTGCAACTGATTTACATGCCCTCAACCACTTCATAACAATCACATCAGTCTGAACTATATTTAAGAACAGGAAGAAGTCGTGATCAAATTATCACTCGTGACCCACAAGCTATTGCGCAATGCTGTTACAAGGGTGTGTCAGAAGCCTGCAAAACATGCAATGTTGAGAATGTTCTGTTTTGTGTTTTTCCCTCTCCTCCAAATATTAGCTTGAAAATAATCACAACACACATGTTTTAATATCTTTTTACCCTAAAGGTTAGGAGTGAGTAAAGGTACATGCTGGCCAGGGAAAAAAATAATATTTATTTTTCTGGGGCTACTTTTCAAGCTTGCCTGCATAAAAATAACACTCTAAAATTTGTTTTGCATTGAACTCTATGCAAATCTACAGGGGCTCTTTTGGGCATTTCGGGGGCAAATTCGCCCCGAGCCCCAGTGTATTTTTTTTTTTTACTGATGCTGGCTTGTAAACTATACAAAATGACACAACTTTTGAAGTTTTTACTGGTTATTTCTATGTAGCTCACAGCTCAGAAGGAAAGGTGGAGGGAGATCAGTTAATACATGTACATAAAGTATATGTGTGTGTAGAACAAAAGAATCAATATTAGAACTACAGAAATATAACCATTCACATGCAGAATCTTGCAGATGTTTCAACATTTCTACATTTGCTGCTTATGCAACTGGTTTGAATGCCATTATCCCCTTCATAACAATGACACCAGTCTGAACTATATTTAGGGCCAGGAAAAAAATTATGATGAAATTTCGCATGTGACACAAAGATATTTCGCAATGCTATTACAAGGTTGTGCTAGAAGCCTCCAAAACATGCAATGTTGTGAATGTTTTTTGTTATTCCTCCTCCAAACATTACATTGAAAGTAATCACAACACAGCATAATTTAATGTCTTTTTACTTACTTTTTTTACCATAAATGAGTGCTTGAAAACTATACAAAATGAAACAAATTTTTAAGTTGTTACTTGTTACTCCTGTAGCTCAAAGCTAAGTTTAGAATAGATTCCAATGAAAATTGAAGAACAGGCAATATATAAAGTGTATCAACTTGGACCCCTTGTGGTACTACTGTAACAGGACAAATTAATTGAATCCCACCTCACAAAAGACTGAATTTTTCAGATTCATAAAAGTTTGTTTGCCCTCAAAATTGTTTGCTACCATGCAAAAGCTTCCAGATTTACAAGATTTGCTTAGTATTGGACAATGGAATATGCAGTGTTCATTTTATTGATGAAGATATGTTTGGTATGATGCTTATTAGTATTGGACGATGGAATAGGCAGTGTTCAATCAAATCTGGGCAATTACAATATTCTGGTTATGTTGGTTAGAGTAAGGGATTTTATTGTATACATTTGATATTGATGTGGGAATGAGATTCGTGCTCCCAGGATGAGGCAATATATGGTAAAGGGTATGGGGTAGAAGAAGGAAAAAAAGTGGAAAAAGTAAAAAAAACAGATGAAAAGGTAGAAAGGAAGAAGAAAGGGGAGTGAAGGAGATAAAAAAAAGAAGTAGAGGAAGAAGAAGAAGAAGAAGGAGGAGGAGGAGGAGGAGGAGGAGGAGGAGGAGGAGGAGGAGGAGGAGGAGGAGGAGGAGGAGAAGAAGAAGGAATTTCAACATCCATCCTTTCAGAGAAGGTATATGTAATAATGATTTAGATTACAATGAATAAGTTGCTTCCATCATGCCCATCAAGATAATTTGCAATGCCAGTTTTGCTTTTGAAATTGAATAAATGCAGAGTGACAGCTGACAGAAAATATTTCATTTTGAAAGTAGAAATACAGCCTACCTCAGTTCAAACACAATCCAAATTCCAACAATTTCATGGCAAGTAACACGTAAAACTATGCCAAATGTTGTCCAAAATATGAAAGTCATCAAATCATATTACGGTAGTTTTCATGCTAAGGTTCACTTGTGGATATATTCTCTTTGGAACTTGGGATTGTATTTGCTCTGAAAAGGTTGTTAATGGCTACTAATATGGAGCAGAATAAAGATTGCCATGGATGCTGATCGGAAAGATGGCTAGTATAAAGTATAATTCTAATCTACTGACCATGCCTCAAATTCTCAATGGGCCTCTGGTCTGAAAGAGAATAGAGAAGAGAACAGACTTGTGATAGAATACTCCCCTTCAGGTCTTTCCTCGTAACAGACCTGAAAGGACATTCCCCCTTTGTACTTTTTGGTTTGGGGAGGCGGCCTTTATCGCATTAAAGATTGATATCAATAATTGTAAATACCAGTAAGAGCTTAACTTTAGAAAATCCTGAATTTGTTTTTCTTTCCAACGTGAGAAGTGCAATTTGGACTAATTTGTATATCTTTAAAAAAAAATTGTTTTCAGCATGTGTGTGCCAAATCAATCAGACTAACACAGCTTATACTATGTGTAAAAGATAGATAAATTGGAGAGAAAATTGCTGAAGGTGGAATAAAGCATTTATCTACATGAATTATGTAGATAATGTAAACATCACAGTACAGCTGTCTATATTTTCATACATTGTGTAGTTTCAAATCATGGGATTGAAAAGCTCTACAATAACACATTACTTCCAAACTGGCAAAAAAATCATTATTTCACGTCAGAATATTCTGGATGGAAAGTTTGAGCTAATGCCAAAAGCTGACATGTCACCTCAGGGCTATATAGACATGTAAAGTCACACATGAGCATAACTTTGTTTGAGATAGGAAAGGCACATACTGCAAATGCACCAGATCTTTTTTCAACCTTAATATTTGCATACAGTTAATGTACTTTCTAAAAAAAAAAAAATAACTAGAGTCAAAAGTGTTTCCATGTGTACGTGGACTTGGTATTATGTGTGTACGTAAAAGGATACAATACAGTTGAAGTGATATGAGAGTGAGTAAATACACTCCAAGCTACTTGTGAAATATATGTGTGAGCCAATGTAGTATATATATAAGTAATACAGACTGCATAGTCCTATGTCATGATTATATAATGCATGTGTGAGCTCTTCTAAATGTGATTGCGACATACAGCATAACCCCTGGTAATACAATGCATGAGTTAGCCAATCTAGAGGCAATTGATATATACTGCTTACCACAGTCTGGGAAACCCCTCAGTCATAATGAACACAACGCATGAGTATAATAAGCCCTTATAAATACTACTGATGGGCAAGTCAAAAGTATTTTGGCCAATACACACTACTGTCATCCATCAAATTGTTTTTTATCACATGTACTTGTAACCGATTCGATCACAGTGACAGCCCAGCTAGAGCCTGAATCGGAAAAAAAATAAAATAGGAAAATGGCCCTTGCAAATATAATTTTGAATTTACTTTTTGGTAACTTATGGGACAGTAAATGACCAAATACCTTGGACTTGCCCTGGTATATACAGTCAAACCCATCTATAGCAACCGCCCAAAGGAAACACCAAAAAGTGGTCTATGTAGACAGGTTCCTTTAGTACATGTTTTAATGAGAAACAAAAAATGTGGTCTTTGTAGACAGGTGGTCACTAAAGCAGGTTTGACTGTATCATACAATGCATGAGTTAATGGTTCCATGATGTACATGCTACTGATTAATAATACATACTGCAAAGTCTGTATATGTCCCACAGGATGAGGTGACGGATAAGGTGCTCATGTTATTAGATTGGGTATGACCCCCGGATACCGTGCTCGTACTGAAGGCAGAAGAGGACCCAGTACCGTTCTTGTCACCTAGCACCTTGCGCTGGGCGTTCCGGGCGGGGGTGTTCCTCAACCTCTTTGGAGTCTGAGGGGAGGGGGAAAAGCCATGAAGGGGATTATAAGTTTGGATGATACAATACAGGAATTACAAATATTTAATGTTAGAGGTTTTCTTACAAGTGAACAAGGGATATGTTGTCAAATAGCAGGGCCTCGTCTAACAAAGAGTTGATATCGATCGCAAATAAGTTACGATTGATATCAACTCTTTGTAAGACGGGGCCCAGATCTATATAATTATTGGAAATGGAAATCTTATTCAAGAAGTAGGAAAGGATGGGGGATAACATTTTTAAAAGGGATTTACGATAATAACTAAGAGCACAACATCAAGTTCATAAGGAGCATGGGTTGCATGAGTGGATGTGAGTATTATTGGATATAGAAATGACATACAATACATTTAGCATGACATAAAATAGAGGAGGGAAATGATGTTTAATATACAGTAGGCTTATTTGCTGAGGAGAAAGTTTACATGATAAAATGAGGACAGAATGAATGAGATGTGAGAAAGTAAACAGGTTATGTTAAAAAGAAAACAATTAAAAGTTGAATATGTACATAAACTTTTAAATTTCAATAATCAACATTGATTATTTGAAGTAAATCAAATATGCTAATTAAACACATTCAGGCTATTCAAGAGTATTTAACCATTTCTAAAGTAAGTATACCGGTACACAATTAAATAGTTTAAAAACAGACAATATTTGTATTTCTGACTTTTAGCTTACTAAGGCATGGACAATATTATGATGGTGCAGTAAGCTAGAAATGTTGTACTTATATGACATATAACACAAAATGTGTCCATTTTGAGTACAGTATGAGAGTATATACTCACAGGGAGTCTACTGTTGTATCTTGACGTTGAGGGTGAAGGGAAAGGAATACGAAAAGGTGGCTTACCACAGACAGGGGAAGGCTACACACATACATGAGCAGAGGCAGAGAAATGTGAATAGTACAAAGGAGCAAGAAGCAGAGGGTGTGGGAGAGGTAGGGACGGAGAGAAAGAGAGAGGAGAGAGAGAGAGAGGGAGAGAGAGAGAGAGAGAGAGAGAGAGAGAGAGAGAGAGAGAGAGAGAGAGAGAGAGAGAGAGAGAGAGAGACAAGAGAGAGGAAGAGAGAAAGAGAGAGAGGAGAGAGGTGCGGAGGGAGGGGGAGACCGCAACAGAGACATGGACAGAGAGAAAGAAAACACACAGGAAGGTAGAGAAGAGGGACAAAAGATACAGAGGAAATAACAGAAAAAGTAAAATAAAATCAGTGCAAAGAACATATATATTGTGCAAAGAAAATGTGAAAATGAGAATGAGAGTGAAAATGTAAGTGCATAACATAAAACTGATGAAATTACTTTGCTGCCTTTGCCAGTAAGGGGTGGTGACAGGGGTGGAAAATGTTATGATGCTAGGAAGCACTAAAGGATGATAAAAGAGGGTAATATAAGATAAACAGCAACATCTAAAAGAAATAAGCAGATGAATAGAATCAAATATAGTCAGGAAACAGAGAAGCAAACAAAGCAGAGTGGCATATGAAGAGCATGCAATGTTCAATACAACTGAGTAAAAGCTATGGTATGATTTAAAGAGTGACTGAGTGAGGTGAGAGTGGGGGGAGACAGAGAGCGAGGAGAGAGAAAGACAGGAGACAGAGACGTGAGTGAAGGAGGGGGAGAGAGAAAGAGAGACGGGGCTGAGACAAAGAGTGAGGGGGAGAGAGAGAAAGAGAAATAGAGGGGGGGGGGTAGGATGGGACTGAAATGATCTTTGTTTCCAATGATAAACAAAATAATATTTCATGCAGCCCACATGACCACTAGATTTGTTTTCTATCTTGCACAGAGGAGATAATAGATAAAACATTTAAATAAGATGGGTCTGAACCATGGGGGAGGGGGGGGGGGGGGGGGGGGGGGGAACGACATTGAACCGAGCTGCTTACCCTTGCAGTAGAAGCTCCGGTGGGTGGCTTTGTCCTGCTTGCTCTAGGTGATGGCATAATGCTAGAATGAGCGGAGGACATGTAAAGTCTGGGGGATGCTGCTACACTTCCATTGGCCTGTCAAGATAATAACAATAATGATAACGTCATGTTTTGAAGCAGTATATAACCCTGGAAATACGTAGTTTGTCTGTCTATGGAATAGTATGATAATACATTGAACAGAGGAGATTGGCGAAATTTCACACCGCCTCTCAAAATAATACACACACTATCATCAGATAAAGAAAATGGCATCCTATAGCTATGGCTAACTAGTGCTGTAAGCATCTGTAAAGGAATGACTGTGTTTTTTTAAATCAAGCGATATGTCACTAGTTGTGGAGCCAACATACATGTAATTGCATCTAGACTTAAGCATTGCTCGTTTGTTCGTGAAACCAGTGATTAATACTTGACCCAAATAAAACCTTCCTTGTCTCTGGAAAAAGATATACTTCCATCATAAAACAACCAAAGTCCTGAAATACATCTTATGGGGCATTGCAATTAAGTTTTGCAATTAATTGCATATTTGCAATTGATCGTATCTCAAATTTCTTGCAACGCCCCATTAGTAGAGAGAGAGAGAGAGAGAGAGGGAGGGGGGGGGGGGGAGAATAAAAGCTAGATCTAGTCAACTTAATTTAAATTGTTAAAAATGTAATCCTAACAAAATCCTAGGAAATTTTGGAGACTAGTGGGCATTGCAAGAAATTTGAGTTGCAATCTATTGCAAATATCGGTTGCAAAGTTGGCAACTTGCAATCGATCGCAACTTTCTTGCAACGCCCCATTAGTCTCTTGGGTGACATGGTTTATAGAGTGCATAATAATATATCTGATTACACCAATGGGTGCCATCTAATCTTACCCCTCTTAATCTCTTTGGTGTCTTGGTTGGAGTGAGACCAACAAATCTCCTCTTGGTAGGGGTGCTTGGCTTGCTACCGTGTAGCATCTCTTCTTCAGTTATACGTTTACGAGCATTCAGCTGAAAATATAACGTAAGAGTTAATCAATAGGTCAATCGTTATCAACCAATCAATCTATCACCACATCAATTAATGTTAAAGGTAAAGACCAGTATTGGAAACGCCCCAATTTCAAAAAATGAAATGGAAGCTCTCATTACCAATCATGTGAAAGAATATGTTTTGACTAATACATGATGATAAAAAATTTGCCGGGAAACCGCCTACTAATTCATATATTTGGTAAATTTGTTTCTCTCATGGTCTGTGAGAGATATAGGGTAGTCCCATATACATCTTTTTGTGTATAGTGCTTGTAACTTTACAAAGAATGGGCCAAATTTCTTATCATTTTGATGATTCCAGAACCTTGCAGATGCTAGATGCTAGATGATCAACCTTTTCTGTTCGATTCCACAACGTTTCTTTCACAATGCAATCGCATGACCATAACTGGTCTTTACCTTTAATTTTCCATTTTCATTGAGATTTAAAAAGTAGTATGAATAGGAAAGGCTGGAAAGTACCAACACAGCCATGGGTATTGCTGACACACCTCTACAAGTCAACGCAAGTTGAAGAAAATCAGCGTTCTTCATGTTCAAGGACAAATAATATGGAAATGCACAGTAAACTCGCAAAATTGATTTTCATCTTTACATGTTAAAGAAAGAGAAACTGACAGAAAAGAAGTATTGAATCTTCTGGTCCTTCAAATTTAAAGATATATAGAACGATCTAATCAGAAATTTCAGCATTGTTAAGGTTATGAAATGTATACAATAAAAATAGTCAAGAAAAAACATATGCACCACATTATTAAGCATTAAAGACAATGAAGACAAGTTTTCAAGAAAAGAAAATATGCAGCTAAAACGGTCTGGTATTGTTCAAGTCGATCATATTGTCAACCAGTTTCAGGGGTGGAGGCAGGGGGATGGGAGGTGTCAGTAAGGGCCAAAGCCTGTCAAATGTTGATATTCATTTTTTTTTCTTCTAATCTTTTGTCAGGGTAGCCCATTCACCAATAAGTAGTGGTCTTCCATGGGGCCCTGAATGATTATGAACATATTTACATAAAAAAGCATAACGTTAATTATACAGAACAGTTAAAATAAAATTCCATAGTACATTTAGAAAGATAAACACAGCAATAATAGACGAGGCACAAACAAATACTCGTTCGCAAAATAATCACATATCATACCCTTTCTTCCTTGATGACTTTCTTCTCGTTCTCATGTGCAGCCCACTGAGCAGCAACGTAATCCATGAACCTGCAGCCGTCCACTAGAAACTCTGTCCCAGTCTGTCGCTCATATTCCTCAATTCTGTCCGAGAGTTTCTGCTCAATCTACGCAGAAAACAAACATCAACAACATTGACATTTTGTACTGTTCTCCAAAAGAATATATGAAATTCATTGTACCTGTAAATTCAAACTGCAACATGGCCCTTGTGCATTTCAGTTTGACTGTATATTTGTGTAAGTGGCAAATACTATAAACACACAAATTTGAACTCTAATTCCAATCAGGTAGGTACAATATTCAGAGTCCCAACAACAGTTGAAGTATGCTCAAAGCCATTCAATATTTAATAACACTGACATTGTGTCTCCACAACTTTCCAATATAGCTTTCTTAGTAACTAATGTTTTTAAAATGACAAATTGTGACATAATCATACAAAATACAGATTATATGTTAAAAAATCCTGTTTTACCTTTGGAAGATCCTTGTTGAGTTTACGACGGATTCTTTCTTCCTCCAAAAGGTTTCCACCACGGTTGTTGAAACGGTTTGGATCGATAGCTTTCCTCTTCAAAGAGAAAATGAAAAAGCAATGATACTTGAAACCTTATCATATTCCCACAAAACATCTTTCCATATACTAGTAGGGTAACAGCTTATTTATTGAGTTTTCAATTGATTGCATATCTTGGCTACATGAACTGATTTTTAGGACAAATGCGATATATATATATATATATATATATATGAAAATATAAAACCTAGTTTATGTATTGCCATCTAGCACCTTTAATTTTTTTGTCGCATTGGTGATATAATATGCAGAAATGAAAAGTGAAACATGTGTAATAAATTTTTTTTTAAACAGAATAAGCATGCCAATTTGTGAAGGTAAATGTATATGTCAAAGAGGCAAACATAATATTGCTGAGCCTCGAACATGATCAGTAAACCAAGTAAACTAGAGGAAACTGTTTATCCCTCGAAGCTACAGAACAGCCGACATTGAAGTAGCATTGTGCATCTTTGTGAATTAGAGAATGATGAGCAAGATTTTTGTATATAGAAAAAAGAATTGAGTACGAAAGTGACATGTGTTCAATATATCCTTAACTATAAAACTTACCAAGAAATTTTTCATAGCATATATTCAAATGATCATATATTTCATCATACATTTCTAAAAGAAATTAAAAACTATATCATGTACATGATAAAACAGTTGGTTTTCTTTGACCTTACCTGTGTTACAACAACTGATATCATGTAGAACACAGAGGAAGAAGAGAGGAAGAGCAGACTCTTTGCATGTACACATTTCAATAAACATAACCAACTACATAACTAAAATATTCATGAGTAGGAATTCAAATTATCAATATCTACTTCAGATACAGAATAAGTTCTCTTGCAGACAAAAGATTTACATTCTATTACTATAACATAGTCAACCTTTTAGCATAGTAAGATTTTTTTTACAAAGTATAATCATAAAACCTTAACATTTCCAAGTTTAGAACCCTAGCCACAATCTATAGTAGAGCAATACGAATGAGCATTACATTATCAATTGTTTAAGATATATGACAGCAGATTAGAAGAAAGAGACATAGAAAAGTTTAGAACAAAAGCAACGAGAGGATTTTTCTTTTAGTAAAGGTAGTGCAATAAAAAGAAATGATATAAAATGAATAAAATGAAAAGTGCAAACGTGCAATATCTGATTATGAAATCAAAGAAAAGATTTTGTTCAATACTATGTTTGTAAAATGCATAGCAAGCATTAAGGTTATCCTTTTTACACACCCTTATAAAATATCCTCATTTAAAAAGAAACCATACAAGCCTGATACATGCATAATATGTTTTCCTACAAAAATCTGTTTTTTTCTAGAAGTGGCTGAGTTGTATGATGAGCACTGCTGTCATACATTACTTAGCAGTGAACACCACACAGCCTCTAGATCATATACTAGAAGGAAACAGATTTCACCTATACTAAACATGCAAAGAGTCTACAGCCTAGAACTACTAAAGTATATCAACACATTGACCATGCATCATTATCTGTTGTAGATAACTACTCACAAGATATTTCAATCATGGGGAGAGGAGGGGGGCGGGGGGGGGGGGGGGGGGGGGGGTGGGTCGAGCGTAATTCCAAGCAATTAAATTAATGATGATAATTTATTTAAAAAAACAAGCAAGGTTGCAAATTTTAAACTTGTATTTAGTGTAAGGTGTAGTCTTTAAAGAAGAAAGAGAACAAAAAGGGAAAATTCTTCTGACATCATGCAAGGTGATGACTAACAGCTGATCCAAGATGTCTTTAAATTAGTCTAATGGACATAACACAAAGTGACAATGAGCACCTAAATTCTCTTAGAGATTAGAAGTATTATCATTTGAGCAACTAATAACATTGATGAAATATTTACCATGAAATGGTGCCAACACATACATGAAAATTAATGTGAGAATGGGTGGATGCATAGCATATCGAAAGAGATAGTTGTGTCGTGCTCACACCTACATGATCAAACATCAATTCGTGGAGCTCCAAATTAGGAGCTCCATGAATTGACCTCTGATCGCGTACGGGTGTCACAACTATCTCTCTCGGTATGCTATGGGTGGATGGACAGATCACATGATAACACAATGCATGGTCAATGGTATGATAATTAGTACCACAAGAATGCAAGAAAAGCACTACAGAAAATGGGAACAACGGTAAGTGATACAAGTCTTTTAGAACTTATATCACACATCCAGCACAACATTAAAATGTGTGTTCCTAGTGTAATGCTTTCCTTGCACTCATTGGTGTCAAGTCTGTGCTTTTATGAATCAATTTATCCAGATCTACATTTGTGGGGTAGTCACGTTGAAGAAATGTTGGGTGTAATATTCACGCAAAATGTTGTTACCTTTCATGTAATTTGAGGTCAAGGTGTAACAGAATATTAATACATGTCAACCTCTGATCTTGTTGCATTAATTAATTTCAGTCTCAGACAAGAAAAGCCTGTTCAAATTGTTTGTCCAAAGTAAACGGTAGTTTGCCCCATAACCACAGGGCAACTGCTCATGTAAAATTATGTGCCTCACGACCCGTCCCCCAAAAAGCCAGTGAGTTAGGTCTGGATAAATGATATCAATGTAGCCTTCAGGCTTGATGATACTAGTGTCTAAGCATGCATGGGCAAAAATGACTGGAGTTTGATGTAAATGGGTGCCATGATGATCGAGACAGTTTTCTCTGTCTCTCTCTACCTCAAACTCCAGCATCTTTTTCCACATGTCCTCTCTCTTCCGGACTGCATCCAGCATCTCTTGGTTGGTCTCGTAATGACCCTTGACCCTGACCAGCTCCTCGTCGTGCAGTGTCAACAGATCTTCAGTGATTTCATCTGCACAGAGGACAAAGAGTTGAGTAAGGCATAACAACATTGAGGTCACTTTTTTTCTTATATTATATACGCTTACAAGGTTGGACATGCCCAAACACATTTAAAATTGTTGGTTATTATATCTTTTGGCATCAAGCCTCTCAATATTGCATTCTATTATTCATGACAATAATATATATATCTGTAAAGTGCTTTGATAGGGCCTTCCTAAAAAGCGCCCATATAAGAAATAGTTATTATAATTATAACAAAGGAGAGACATGCAAGAAATGAGTTATGCATGTTCTTGTTTTCTGCAACTTTATGATTTTTGTATACTTCACGGTAGGTAGCTTAACACAAAATATGCCATGCTTCTAAAACAAAATTGGCATTAAAAATTACAGCTTGGCAAAAGACCATTAAAGTTCAAGTATCCTGTGCAAATAAGTGGAGACCTAGATTTTTCCCTTAGTGCACATGTATGTAATTTACCTTCATAGAATGCCTCAAACTGGTTGCGTTGTGACCGGCTGTAGAAGCATTTATTCCACCAGCCCTCTAGTTCCTCTCTGATGGCGTCCACTACCTTCCTCAGGTTTTGTCTCTTCAGGATCTCTAGCTTGGCGACTTCTTCTTGTAACTGGACAGAACAACAATAACAGAATGGATGGATTGTTTTCACAGGTGTTGGAATTGTCATTGGTCTCCTATCATATTCTCATATTTCACAGGTCACACAATCACCTGAAACAACTAAACTAGTAGCTACAATCAAAACTGCTTTAGTGACCATTTGTCTACAAAGACCACATTTTTTGTTTCCCTTGAAAATGGTTTCTCATTGTAACATGTACTAAAGTAAAGGAACCCGTCTACAAAGACCACTTTTTGTTTTTCCCTTGGGCGGTGGCTATAGAGGTTTGACTGTAATAAGAAAATCCCCACTCATAGTTACTGCTCAATGGTACTCATTAGTGAAGGATCAATCCAAAACAGAAACAAATATAAAGATTTCACAGAAAACAAACACACTTTGAGAAAAAATATTTGTGGATAATGTGGCCTTTAGGCCTCATTGTCAATGTGAATCAACATAATAACAATACATGAAGAAAGAAAAAACAATGACAGCAACTCAACAGGCAAATTACTTTTCTATCAAATTCAAACAGTGTGCTTGAAACTTTCAACTATCTTTTGGAAGCATCTCTAGATATATTTTGCATAAGTAAATCATATAAATTTCTCTTCATCTGCACTTAAAGATGTTAAACGGTACTTCAATAACTGATAATTATAGCTATAAACTTGCAGCTTTGGTTAAATGTTCTTACCGTAGTAAGATTGCTTGGTTTGTGTCCTTGGAGTTTTGCTGAAGTCTCCTCTCTCTCCTCCTTTGGGATGGAGAGTCTGTTCCACAGAGCAGTCACTCTGTCTCGCAACTCCTCCGCTGCGTGTTTGTTCTCTGTATCTTTGAATTCAAGCTGTGGGAATGAGACAAACAATGTAAATATAATGTAAGTCTGCAGTGTAATTACTGCCTTGCATTGACAGCCATGTCGGTCTCGCTGACTTCCTCAATGTTTCCTTGGTGATTTCATGTAAGGTTGCAACGAGTACTCGCACTGTTGACAACTACTCGAGTATGATTTCTCGTACTCGAATAGTCGGCCGCCATTTATATTTTTTAATGTTTTTGCGCGTCACCTGGCACTGTCCAGGCTGACGCTTACCCGTGCCCGGCGGGAGAGCGCCAGCATGGTACCGTGGGTAAAAATGTTTCACAGCTCAATCACTGTCAACTCACTACTCAAAAACTGGGACCAAATGTCCGGATTTCTGTTTGGACTCAGAGGAAAAGTAGTCTGTCATCTTTGGTTTTAAAAACAGCATTGTTAACCATTATTATTAAATCAGCGCCTTCAACTGCAATTCATAGTAAAATTGCAGGAGTTTTCAAAGACGGACCTGGGATACTTCTACCGTAGTATGTATGGTGGTGGCAAAAAAAAAATTCTGAGTAATTGCCAGTAAGCCTTGGAATGTACTCGAGTACCTCATTACCGTAATTAACGGTGTATTAACCGCACTTTTTTCCCGCTGAAAAAAATATCAAAGTCTGGGGTGCGTCTTATACACGGTACACCAAAAAAAAAAAAAAAAGAAGTTTTTAAAGTTTTTAAAGTTCCGATTTATGCCCCTCCACCTGGCGCTATGCCTGGCAATGTCTCCCAGCTCAGTAATCGGTGTGTTGACTCATCAATCAGAAACTAGAACAACACTCAAATTTGTCTGTCATCTTGGTTTGAAAGTAAACTTTCTGATAGATGTAGTTTATAATAATTCCTCCAATTTGTCTTCTATTACACGGCGTACCACAAGGTTCTATCCTAGGTCTTGAACTGTTTTTTAATTTACATTAATGATCTTACACATTCAGCTGCACCTCGCAGTTAAATGACAGGCCTTCCCGCATGGGTTTTTTAACACGGACCTGGCTTGCTGCCGACAGAGTTGGCAAAAAAAAAAAAAAAAAAAAAAAAAGTTTTTGTTTTTGTTTAAAGTGCGAAAAAGAGGGGTGCGGTTAATACACGAGGGCGGTTTATTCACTGTTAATTACGGTACACGGTTATGCACAGCCTTAGTTTCATGGGCTTGGTGTAATTGAAATGCTGCCTGATATTTACTTATTTTATGTATTGTTCCCCAGAGCTAAACCACTCCTATTCTCATGTAATTACTTAACTTTCAAGTATAGAGCTACGTAAGATACTGGCGAGTGAGTCTTACCTCCTGATGAAGATCTTTCAGAGCTTGGATGTTCTCCTTGGAGAGGACAAACGCTTCTTCTTCCTCACAGATGACTTCCCTTTCAAACGACGTCTCTGGTCCTTGTTCCAGGTACTCCATGTAGGAGAGGATTTCTTTCTTGGTGCTGGTGAAAGTTTTATGCCTCTGGTCCTGAATATTGAGAGAGAGGGATGAAGTGGAAGTAGAAAGTACTGATTTTATCACTGTTTTTTCTTCTCCTCAAGGAAACTACAGTCAAACCTGCTTTAGTGACCACCTGTCTATAAAGGCCACATTTGTTGTCTCATTGAAACATGTACTAAAGGAACCTGTCTACAAAGGTCACTTTTTGTGTTTCCCTTGGGTGGTCGCTGTAGACAGGTTTGACTGTATCTATCTAATGATTGTTCAATACTCAAGTAATGTCAAAGTTAAGATGTTGTGGTTTGGTAGTTCATTCACTTGAGTCTCATTCCAAGGGATGAGGGTTCAAATGCTAGCCCGGTATTAACGTCTTTTTTAAAAGACATTATTCCACATTTGCCACTGTCCGTCCAGGTGTAAATGGGTACTAATCGTTCACTGGGGTAATAATAATTGCAGGGTCTTCTGGAAGAACAGCATTGATGTTATTAAATGTTTCATGGGTAAACAAAATTATTAATATTTTTATTATTAAATTTAAATTAAATCAAATTTCCCCCTCCCCAATGATTTGGGAGGTTGTGACTGTCTTGACAAGACACATTACCTCTCTTGCTTTCAATGATCACTCTTAGTGCTGTAGTCAAACGTTTAACCGTCCGGTATCCGACCGCCCATGGCGGATTCCGTTTTCAATTGGACGGTTTCGTTTTTCCGTTGTTTTTTTTTTTTTTAAATATTTTTTTTTTTTTTTTAATATTTTTTTTTTTTTTTTTTTTTTTTTTTTTTAAAGTTTCGATTTATGCCCCTCCACCTGGCACTATGCCTGGCAATGTCTCCCAGCTCAGTAATCGGTGTGATGACTTACCACTTGGAAACTAGAACAACACTCCAATTTGTCTGTCATCTTGGTTTGAAAGTAATCTTTGTAATAGATCTCAATATATATTCATCCAAGTTTAACACATGGTGTACCACAAGGTTCTATCCTAGGTCCTCTACTGTTTTTAATTTACTTTAATGATCTTACACATTATTCTAAAACGACATTGTTACTATTATTTGTGATTATATACCTCACTTAAGAAATCCAGCCATCTGATTGGTCGAATTGCATTCATAAACTTCAACTGTTCCTGTAAAATTCTCGGTAACCATGCATAAAACATTTCAATATTTTTAATAACCATGGTTATTAAAAAAAGTTGGTCAGCCTCCATGGTTACCCCATAGGTTTACATGTTAAAAAATGGTTTGAGCGATGGAGGATGCCGTATGTGTGCGAAGGATTGGTCGGTAATTTCAATACAATTGAATCTCGATCGATCTTACCGACAATTTTATCTTGCATTGTTGACATGAAGACGAAAATAAACTTCCAAAAACAAAAAACAACATCTGCCGATAGATCTTGATCTAAGTTCGTGCCAATATGCATTGCAAAAGTAAAAGAAGAGTCCGTATATGGAGCTTTTGCGAAGCATTCATCACACGCGAAGCCGGTTTCAATCCATTTTAATGTATATATTGGAGAAAACTGCCAAGCATGTTAACGGCGGGCCATAGCCGAGTGGTCTAAGCGTTGGTTTTCGGTACACCACTTGTTGCACGCAAGGGTTCGAATCCCGTCTTCGACAAAATGATAAATATTTTTCATTTTTCATTTTTTAGTCTATTTTTTTCGGCATATAAAAGTATTAATGACTGCTTTAATATTCGAGAAATAGTTGTTTTATTACGCTCTCGGGAAGGTTACAATTGGGCTATTCTAACAATAGCACAATTCTAACCTTCCCTTGAGCGTAATAAAACAACTATTTCTCTCAAAGCAGTCATTAATACTATACTAGTTCACAAGCACAAATCGGCGCCTTCAGTTAAATCACCTTCCTGCTTTTTCACACGGCCCAAAAAAAAAAAAAAAAAAAAAAAAAAAAAAAAAAAAATTAAAATAAATCGTTTAACCGAAAACCGTCCGGTTTTGACAGGCGGTTAAACGGAATTGGAGATATCCGTGATGTTACAGCACTAATCACTCTTGAGGATTGGCTGCTCCCGTGAAGTAATGTCTGTGAAAGGATGTAGTAGTGTTTTTGATATGGGTCTTCACTAAGTTTCCTACTCCTATCAATCTGGGGCGTTCCAAGAAAGTTGCAATCAACTGCAAATCCCCAAAATCAATCGTAAGTCTTGCGATTAATTGTAAATTTGCAATTGATCGCAACTTAAATTTCTTGCAACATCCCATTAGTAAAAGAGAGAGAGAGAGAGAGAGAGAGAGAGAGAGCGGGGGGGGGGGGGGGGGGGTGGGGGGGGGAGGGGAGAATAAAAGCTAGATTTAGTTAATTTAATTTAATTGTTAAAACTTTAATCCTAACTAAATCCTAGGAAATTTAGGAGACTATTGGGGCGTTGCAAGAAAGTTGAGTTGCAATAATCGCAACTTTCTTGCAATGCCTACTCCTACCTATCTAGGTGTCTTGAAAAGCTACATGACTTGCCTTTTCTGCTGTGAGTGTATCAATATGTTCTCTGAGGATGCCAAGCTGTTCCTGCGAGGGTACAGTCCCTGAGGGGATGTAGTACGGTGTGGTACATAAGATGTCGCACAGGGTCTGTTCGACCTTCTGCAGGCCCTCCAAGGCACCCAGTCTATCCGACTTCTCCTTGCCTAGCTGCTCCACCTGGAGTCTTAATGCCTTCTCCAGCTGCAGGATTGAGATCCCACTATCAGGCTGACCGACGAAGGAGAGAAAAAAAAGGAAGATAAGAAAGGGGTCATTACAAAAATATGTGGCAACAGAAGTTCAGGGCCCCGTCTTACAAAGAGGTGATATCAATCACAACTTATCTATGTACATGAGAGATAGGAGACTGCAAACTTGTGATTGATCGTAGGACTAATGATTGATTTGGATCAATCATAACTATTCGTATGACGGGGCCCAGGTATTTTATTAACTTGGGTGATAACACTGTCATTCTTGTATTGCATACTGGGTATACTGTTTAAATGCGGAGGGAAAGAGAAAGTACCATTTACTTTGTCATACATTGGGGATGCCAGTTGGGCAACCTAGACAATTGCAAAGTTTCTCAAATTCCTCCTCCTTTGGTCTTTTACAAGGTACTGGACAATTCACAATAAATAAAAATGATAAGTACATGAATTTTGCATGAATGTTATGCCTACGCAGCCTACCATCCACAAAACAAAGCTTGAATGTTTATGTTGCCTGCTGTACTTTAGCCTAGGTGGTAAATAGCGGACAACTGCAACAATGGATGTGTGAAACTTATTATGAAACATATTAACTAAACTAAAAGTAAAATCCAAATGCAAACCAAACTTTATACCTTCTTTGATAAAAACAGAACATAGACCAAATGTGTGATAACCACTATTTATTTCCATCCATGGACGATAATCTTACCTCGTATTGCTGGAGAGCCAGTTCTATACACAGCGTTGTAACCTTCTCCGTTGACGATGCCACACTCTTCATGAGCCTTTGCCTGAGGGACTCCTCCTCTGTCACCATCTCAGACAGCAGGTTGCGTATGTGGTGCAGGACAACATTCTGGCGTTCCCCTCGCTGATCCTCGCAGATCCCGATCTCATTCCAGATGTCCCTCAGTTGATCCAAGGCGTGTTCTAGACACTGACCTATCTCCATCTTCATGCTTTCCCTGAGGTGAAAAAAAAAGGAGAAAAAGAACAGAAGAAAAATTAGAAGAAGAAGAGACAAAGAGAAGGTGAGAAGAAGAAAAAAAAAACAAGAAGGAAAACACAAATTAAATTAAGCAGCAGAGAACATATAAATTTGTTAGTGATGTGCATACCAAATTATTCAATGTTGTGTTACTTGCGTCAGTTGCCATTAACTAGACTAATTTGAGCATTTAAACTTTCACAATCTTGTTTTTAGACTTTACTGAATGGTGGTATCTGTACTGTCACATAGTCTGGCCTACAAATTACAATGCATTTGCATCAGACTAAAATGCATGCACTGTCAATATCTAAAACACTAAAAACAGATTAAGATTTTGAAATTTGGTTGATCTACCTTCGTTTGAAACGGTAGGTCTTTTGTAACCACAAAAAGAAACAGGAACCAAAAATTACCTTGTGAATTGGGTAACACAATATAGGTCTTATGAACTGAAATTGAACGTTAAGATTTTACAATAAAAAAGATCAGCAGATTATTAAAACATGTAGTAAAATGATCAAAAATTACCAAATTTACGGTTCATAATTCAGCATAATTTAAAAAACACAGATTCTGACATTGCAAGGCCAAGGGAATGGAAATCTACACCACTAGCACTAGAGATGTTGTTTCATGGAATATCTGCCAACGAAAGTATCTGATTTTATTTACAGACAATCATCCTGTACAATGAGTGTACATTGTTCTTAAAAACATATTTAAAAAATGTATAGGCTTAGGCCGTGGCATGCATGCGCACCTAATTTATATATTTGACTTGATTGATATTGACAAAGATTTACTTTTATATTCCTTGAATCCTACAAGAGACGACAGAAATAACTGTCTGCTAAAGGCAATGCTTTTAAATCCCAAATAGAGCTTCAGTATCAGCCTCTCTGTCATTATGACAGTTGTTCCGCCGACCGCCACTATATCATACGAGAAAACCTGGATACATACAGGAACTTCGGGAAGGTTGTCAAATGTCAGTTTTGAAGAATTATAATATTCTATTTTTGAGTAAAAAGTAAGTGTGACAAAAAATTTATTATTAATATTGAAATTATATTTATAGCAAGAATGATGTAATTTTCACAAGAAAAGGTGGCCATACTCATTTTTACACTGCAAAAATCAGAGGTTTTCAACTTTCCATGACTGCGCACTCAGTCATAGTGCAGATCGATCATCATTTCATTCATTATTTTTTTACTTTGTCAGAACTTGGAAGTGAAAAACAGCATTTAGAAATTAATTTAGAAGGGGGTCTATAGCAAGAATGATGCAATTTTCACAAGAAAAGGTGATTGACCGTGTCATTTTGACATTAATTACAAAACTCAAAGGTTTCCAAATTTCCATCTCTGCGCAGTGCGCACTCATAATAGGCATGTCATGAATGCAGTGGCCAGTGCAGTGCATGCATTCAGTTTCATTTGAGTTTCTTTTCGACTTTGTCAGAAGTGAAAAACAGCATCCAATTATAGACTAGGTCTAGTATAGGGGCGCTGGTCCGAGAATAAGGATCGTCTTCTTTAACACGGACAGATGCGTCCTCAAAAATAAGGACCGTCTGCATTTTCGCAGACGTTTCATATTTTTGATCGGCGCATTGGCGATGCAAAAAACGGATTCTGCAATGATTTTCTTGATGCATTTTACATTGACTTTGTACAGAGACCTTCACATTATGAGCAATAAATCCTTGGGAAGACGGACAACCCATAAAAGTAGACGGTGAACTAGGGTTATTTTCCCCCGGGGAATCTATTTTTGGCATCGCCAGTGAGCCGTTATTTAACATGAAACCCCCAGAGCACCGATGAAAAAAAATGTCCTCGAAAATGCAGACGATCCTTATTTTTGAGGACGCATTTTGTCCTCGTTTATGAGGATATCCTTGTTTATGAGGACGATCCTCATTCTTGGACCAGCACCCCTACTGGTATAAGAGGGGACAGTAGGTTTTATAGAGGCTTTGCTTGGTAAAGTTAGATATTTCTCGGCAATCCTATACTTTAGTGTGTTTTATTATTTTGGGTTTCTAACTTCAGTTAATAACAGCTCTTCGTGCATATCATAGGGTTAGGGTTAGGGTTAGGGTTAGGGTTAGGGTAGGGTTAGGGTTAGGGTAGGGTTAGGGTTAGGGTTAGGGTAGGGTTAGGGTTAGGGTTAGGGTTAGGTTTAGGGTTAAACTGAAGTTAGAAACCCAAAATAATAAAACACACTAAAGTATAGGATTGCCTATTTCTCAATATAATTTTGGCATGACATAGTTTTGTCTATCTACAAAAAATAAATATTTATCGCCAAAATACCGACTTCATTCCTAGGTTTGGTCATGCCATTCACGATCACACTACACGCTGCACTGGCATTCATTACCTGCAAAAATCTAGTGCACAAAAGACTCATTCATCAGTTCATTGATTCACATCCGCTTTTTTTACACGCCCCAAAACTTGAAATATTACGGTACAAGAACCATTTACCGTAATTATATTGAATACAGAGTTAACATATTACATGAACAGTAATCAATAAATGATCATACCTCCGTTTCGCTTCCATTTTGGCATATATTTCAGTATTTAATCCTCTGTCTAAGTTCATCAAGTCAGCTGTTTACGTTCTTCCACTGTTGCAAATACGACGTGCACGATTTTTGAAAAGCTCGCAAGCGAGAAGCCCGTCGATTGGTCAAATGAAAACCCGGGTATATTGGAACCCCCTATAGATGGCGCTAGACCAGAAACAATGTTGAACATATTTTCTGATAAAAAGATGTATAATAATTAGTGCACAAACATTTTTTTCCCAACGTGAACAGTGGACACACGTTGTATAGGCCAGCTACTTTAATTTTTTTTGTTTGTTAAATATTTAACAAATATCTATAAAAAAAGAATAAGGCCTATAATTATCATCATCCAGCGTGTTGGTTCTTTCTAGAAAGATAATATGCACAAGATTAGTATTCTTTCGTTTCTGTCCTGATATACCGTGTGAGTCAAAAAAAGTTTACACCTAGAAAATTGCTAAGTATTTTAAAAATCATCTATGAACAGTAAATTATTATACATCTGATGAAAGAATGTTTTATCCCAAATCACTTGGTACCATTTTTGTGTGGTATGTGTTCACGCTTGAATGAACAGGAGGCATTGTTTGCAAGAGTGCAAAAATCGACTTGCTCCAAAGTGCATGATGCCTACAGTATGTATTATGTCGGGATTTGCGGAGTGAGAGAATTAAATGAAATGAATGTATCAAATGAAATACATTGTATATGCATTTTGCAAAGGGCAAAGTCACTGTCACACGCACCCACACACACGCGCATAAATGCTGGTTGATATTTGATATTCGATAGATATGTGTGGCATGATTAATTTTGTTAGGGATGTTATTTGGATCTGCAAAGACCGAATTAATACCCAAATCCCAATTGTTTTATTCAGACATCACAAAAGCAGCTTTACTTGGCGCAGGTCGATTCTTGCACTCTCGCAAACAATGCCTCCTGTTCATCCAAGCGTGAACACATACCACAAAAAAAAATGTACCAAATGATTTGGGATAAAACACTCTTTCATAAGATATATAATTATTGACTGTTCATAGATGATTTTTAAAATAATTAACAATTTTCTAGGTGTAAACTTGTTATTGACTCGGGGAAAAAACTGTCCGAACACAAATGTCAGAAATTGCTTTCGAAATTAACTCTCAACCGTCTGAATGAATTAAGGATAGCATATTTTGCGATGTGTAGGCCTCTGGTCTCCTCCTGACTTTGACTAGCAAAAGGGGGACATCACATTTCAGAGTCTATCTTTTGAGGGGGTCTAAAAGTGTTGCCGGGGGCACAGTTAGTGTGAGGATCGACGCATTGTGAAAATAGATGTACTTGGCTTGTACTGGGGGGGGGGGGGGGGGGGGGAGGGGGTCGGAACAAAATTCGCATCACCACCAAGTAGCAGGGGCGGCGGAAGGTCTTCCAAAGTACGAGGGGGGGGGGACAACAATAAAGTGGTACCTACAAAGGGAAACATTAAAACAAAACAAAAAACACTTGTAGGCATTGGTATACCCCTACATGATTGTGATTACAGTACCAGAAATGACATCAGTATGTGTTTCTTTCTCTACGAGGTACAAGTTAGGTGTGATGGTCTGTATATTAATTTTCGAGCGAGCGAGACAAAATTTTAAGATTTGTGAGGTCTCGTGCAATTCGAAAAATTACATCTTAAAAAAAAGACAAAAAACAAATCCTGGTGACTAATGAAGAAAGACTGAAAAGTTCTTTTATGGGTGACATAATTGTAATATCTATAAATGCGAGCGAGCGTAGCCAGCGAGCTCTAGGGAAATTTAAGAAAATGTGCTCTAAGTCGCCCTGAATTGGGGGTGCATGTTATGGAGAAAGGAAAAGAAGGCACTTATCTAAAGGGAAATGGACAATTAAAGGAAAGAAAAGGTGCTCGTGTCAAAGTAAAAAGGGTAATTATCAGAGGTGAAAATGGCACTTCTTGCACCTGAAATAGGACACTAAACAGAGATGAAAAAGATAAATCTGTTGGAGGGAAAGGGCACCTATCAGACTTTCATAGGGGTCATTTATCAGATTTCAAAAGGGCAATTTAAAAAAAGAGGAGAGGCTCATATATAAAATAAAAAAAAAGGAAAGGGACACTTGTCCGAAGGAAATATGGTACTTATAAAGGAAAAGCACGTATCGAAATAAAAGGGGTACCTATCAGAGGTAAAGAGAGAAAGGGAAGGGGGTTCTTATTAGGTAGGAAAAAGTACACTTATTAAGAAGGAAAAGGAGCACGAGTCAAAGTTTAAAAAAAAAAAGGGCAACATTATTAGAAGTGAAAAGAGGAATTTCTCGCACCGGAAAAGACGTACTCACCAGAGATGCAAAGAAAGGAAAATCACAGTTATTACAAAAGAAAAGGGGAACTTATCCTATGTAAAAAGCGGGCTTTTGGGAGTAATTGAAAAGTTGGAGCACATTGCCCACCCCACCTCCATCCCTTCGGGAGTTCCGCCTTGGGCATAATGGGCAAAAGTGAGGAAAAAACCTGGAAAAGCATGTCATTATTTTCAGCAACACTTGTAAATCACTGATATCGAATTAGAAATAAACCACATTTGAATTCCATCAGTACACCAGGTGTCCGCCTGGTAGGCTCACCTGGGTCGTGAGCGGCAAATGTAGATCTGCAAAAGGACATTAGTACCTCTTCTACGCTATAGAAGAAATGACTCTGCTGAGATGAAAGAGCTATAGGTTTGTCCATCTTTCAACTGATGTACCCTGCGTACAACATTTCCCCCATTTAATAACTGCAATCTGGGCGGAGGGGGGTGGGGGGTTCGCATGCAATAAGATGCCTCCGTGCATTCTCCTCTAGACGTTCGGCAATGTTAAAGATGCAATTCGATAAAGGTAGCCTATATGAAACAGATCTAGATCTACTTACAAACTAAACAATCTTTGCTACTAAACTGTGCACAAAGAGAAGGGGCAATTTTACAATTAAAGCTTATCTGCCGTAGTTTACAGGAGGGATTAGACTGCCCTGTAAGGTCACTGGACAGGTGGTTATCTCATCAACTCTGCTCTCAGTTAACATAAGAAAAAGAGGATTATGGGGGACCAATGGTCACCGATTAGGCATTGTTTGTTATATAGAGGGCGCAAGTAGCTACAAGTAGTGCAGTGGGCCTTTAAGGACTTTTTATTTTTATTTATTTTATTTTGCTGTTTTTTTAATTGAAATTATTATATATATTTAAAGTTTGATGGCACCCTTGTCTCAGGCTTATCATTTAGAAGTGTTTCCTCTAATAATTTTTTTAATTTATGAATGCACATGTATGTTTGTATCAAAAGAATATACTTAATTTGTACATTTTTATTGGAAATTTATGTCTATCAAAATTGAACTTGAAAACATGATCACGGCCGGGAGCTCAGCTGGGGACAATAATTGAATTGTGATGACATTTTTTTGTTTATCGTGGGGGAGCCAAATTTCTTGATCTTTAAAGATTAAATTGGAAATAGGCCCCGATGACTAACATCCCTATATATCCGTAGCCGTCTTGAGCCCATGTTGTGGCGTAGCCAAGGGGGTGCTTTTTAGTGTCGGGTGGATTTTTTTAAGGCAAATCATGCAATATACACTTTTATATTAGTCTCCGATAGATGCAGTGGAAAGAATCATTCTGAAGAATTAAAAGTTCACATCTTAAGGCATTTTTTACTTTTATTTTATTATTATTAATATTTTTTCTTTGATATAGAAGAATATCGCTCCGTTGATTAACGTGTTTTGATACTCGAATCGTCATAATGCTGACGTAGATGGCAGCATTGAAAATCACGTGAGCTAGCAAATCGACAAGGTGAACCCAGCGAAACAAGGACAATTTCTCTTCGGAAAATCGACGAAAATTTGGTATTCTTTCGGGAGCTAAGATGGCTCATGGAATGCAGAGAGGAAAGATGGAAGCGGCTAAAGAACATACGTTGGCTGTGACCAGGAATTATATCACACAACCCAGATTAAGTAAGTAAATATACTGAGTTGTGTGTGAATTTGCAAGTAATCCTGGTGAGCAGCTGATAGTCATCGAAGTGCTAGTACTTTGTACACGCGAAGTGTAGGCGGGGCAATAATACGGAGGAGAGCTCACTCGGCTCGGCTCAGCTAGCTCAGTGCATGATCTTGTGCATGTGGGCAATAGACCCGGCATCCATCACACAAATTGCCAATGCCAAGGGTAGACTTACTACAATTTCTCTTTTACATTGCTCATTAGTTTAATCATCTTGATTATTATTTCATCATTCTTTGTGTGGTTAGTCATTTAAGTAAATACAGTCATTTCAAAAAATTCCTTTTGTAAATTTGATGTCCTTTGCTTTGACTTTGTGTCTTTTGTAACTCAAGAGTGCAATGGAAGGTGGACTGGTTGAATTTATAGTCTTTGTGGAACACTTTTAGATTGTAAGCTTTAATTTTAATATGTCATATTTTGAAAAACATAAATTAGGACAAGTCGGTTTGTTTTACATACTGAAAAACCTATGAAATTTAATTGTTAACTGTGTGTACCCAGGCATGTGTGTACCATGTCGATCTAACTCTAAGAATTAACTAAAGTTCAGAAAAATTATTTTCAGATTTTTGTCTCAACTGTACGGAGCCCCGGAAGTGACATGGAGAAATTTTTTTTTCTCGTTTTCCTGAGATAAATTCTCGTTTTCCTGAGATAATTTTTCGTTTTCCTGAGATAAATTCTCGTTTTCCTGAGATAATTTTTCGGTTTCCTGAGATAAATTCTCGTTTTCCTGAGATAATTTTTCGTTTTCCTGAGATAATTCCCGTTTTCCTGAGATAAATTCTCGTTTTCCTGAGATAAATTCTCGTTTTCCTGAGATAAATTCTCGTTTTCCTGAGATAATTTTTCGTTTTCCTGAGATAAATTCTCGTCACTACGGTTTTCCTGAGATAATATTTCGTTTTCCTGAGATAATTCCCGTTTTCCTGAGATAAATTCTCGTTTTCCTGAGATAATTTTTCGTTTTCCTGAGATAAATTCTCGTTTTCCTGAGATAATATTTCGTTTTCCTGAGATAATTCCCGTTTTCCTGAGATAAATTCTCGTTTTCCTGAGATAATTCCCGTTTTCCTGAGACAATTCCCGTTTTCCTGAGATAAATTCTCGTTTTCCTGAGATAATTTTTCGTTTTCCTGAGATAAATTCTCGTTTTCCTGAGATAATATTTCGTTTTCCTGAGATAATTCCCGTTTTCCTGAGATAAATTCTCGTTTTCCTGAGATAATATTTCGTTTTCCTGAGATAAATTCTCGTTTTCCTGAGATAATATTACGTTTTCCTGAGATAAATTCTCGTTTTCCTGAGATAATATTTCGTTTTCCTGAGATAAATTCTCGTTTTCCTGAGATAATATTTCGTTTTCCTGAGATAATTTCCGTTGTAAAATGAACAGTTAAAATGAATTGAAAAAATACAATTTTCTTCTAATTTTATAACGTTTTGGCATCTGAATGCCCCCCCCCCCCCCTGAGTACGATGTCATATATATTTACTGTAAATTGCGAGCGAGCGAAGAGCGCAATTAACAAATAAAAGACACTAGTCTTACTCGTACAAATTTAGGTACAATACCAATTTGGATGATAAATCTATCTTGATTCAAGAACACTTTATTAACAGACTGCCCGATTACAATAGGGGACAGCCCACGAGGCCGACGGCCGTCAGCCTAGGGCCTAAATCCAGTTTTAGGGGGGTATTCAGCAGGCGCGGATCCAGGATTTCTTAGGGGGGGGGCCCAAATGTGAAATTTTGCGAGCCAAATATTGGTACGTAATGGTGACCAACAGTGACGTAATGCGGGGGGGGGGGGGGGGGGGTCGGTGCAGGGAGGGGCGATTTTCCCCCTCCCTCCTCCGCGAAACGCGGGAAGCTTTGACGTTTCATTAAATTATTAGAGAAAAAAGACGATTCGTTGTCGAGTTCTCGACTCTTTATCCTCGTCTGAATTTAGGTTCCCCCCTCCCGTGCGAAGCGCGGAAGCTTTTACGATTTATTAAATTATTAGAGAAAGAAGACGATTCGTTGTCGAGTTCTCGACTCTTAATCCTCGTCTGAATTTAGATTCTCCCCCAACCCCCTCCTCCCGCGAAGCGCGGACGCTTTTACGTTTCATTAAAGATTCGTATTACCGTTCTCGCCTCTGAATGCTCGTCTGAATTCAGGTTCCCCCCTCCCGCGCGAAGCGCGGAAGCTTTGACGTTTCATAAGATTATGAGAGAAAGAAGACGATTCGTTGTACCGTTCTCGATTCTTAATCCTCATCGGAATTTAGTTCCCCCTCCATCCCGCGCGAAGCGCGGAAGCTTTTACCTTTCATTAAATCATTAAAGATTCGTATTACCGTTCTCGCCTCTGAATCCTCGTCTGAATTCAGGTTCCCCCCTCCCGCGCGGAAGCTTTTACGTTTCATAAGATTATGAGAGAAAGAAGACGATTCGTTGTACCGTTCTCGATTCTTAATCCTTGTCTGAATTCAGTCCCCCCCCCCTCCCCTCCTGCGCGAAGCTTTGACGTTTCAATATATTATTAGAGAAAAAAGACGATGCGTTGTATCGTTCTCTATACTCTTAATCCTTGTCTGAATCAGGGGCCGTCTTAGGGCCCCTGGGGGGGGGGGGGGGGGTCGAGGCGGCGGAGCCGGCCCCGGAAGCTCAGGGGTTTTAGGCGTTTAATTAAGGTCAGATGAGCATTTTTTTGTATACCTTATTATTTTGTGAGACTGGCACGTCACTATTTGGCGTGGGGTCCAGGGGGCGGAGCCCCAAAATATCAGGGGTTTTAGGCGTTAAATTACCGTCAGATGAGCATCTAAGGGCCCGCCGTAGGGCCCTAGGTGAAATCCCTGGGGCAGAGCCCCTGGAAGCTTAGGGGTTTTAGGCATTAATCACGGTCAGATGAGCATATTTTGATGCCTCATTATTTTTCAACACTGGCAGTTAACTATTCTTTCTTTCTTGCTCTCATTCTATTTTATTTCTCTTTAATATACTTTTTCAAAAAAGTAGGGGGGGGGGGGGGGCTCGGGGCTCCCGATCCCCGCCGTACCTCGGGCCCTGACAAGTAGGAATCAACTAAAAAGTGAGGAAAAATCTCGGAAATTATGTCATTTCAGCATTATTTGTAATCCACCGTTGTGGAATTAGAAATAAACCACGTTTGAATTTGATTTCCCCCAAGCCCCCCCCCCTATCAGTACGCCAGTATCTCCTCTTTTCCTTTTTTCTTTCCCTTTCCTTCCTTCTTTCTTATTTTTTTGATTGGGGGGGTCAACAGCCTGGGAGGCAAGGCCCTTTCGCCTTCCCCAATCTCCTTCTTCCCCCTTTTCTTTTCTTCTTCCTCTTCTTTCTTTCCCTTTCTCTCTTCTTTCTCTTTCCCTTCTTTTCCTTTCTTCTCTCTCTTTTTTTTTTTTTTGCGGGGGGGGGGGGGGGGGGGGCCAAGGCCCGCTCGGCCCCCCCCCTGGATCCGCGCCTGGTATTCAGTTATTCACATCACCTTGTAGGTCTCAACATTCAATTGTCGAAATTCGATATATTTATGAAGATAATTATCAATTCCAAAATGGCCTTAAAGGGGAAGGCCAACCTAAGAATATCTATATTTTAATAAAAGGAGACAAATAAGACAAAGTGATTAATAAAAGTTTGAGGAAAATCGGATATGAAATAAGAAAGCTATGAAATGTTCAAGTTTTAAACAAATTAAAATCGATCAAGAAAATCGGGAAATCTGTGATCATTATAACAAACGATGTCTGGGGTTTCGAAAGTTATGCAACATGTATTGGTCGGGAATTATCTCAGGAAAACGAAAAATTATCTCAGGAAAACGAGAATTTATCTCAGGAAAACGAGAATTTATCTCAGGAAAACGAAATATTATCTCAGGAAAACGAGAATTTATCTCAGGAAAACGAGAATTTATCTCAGGAAAACGAAAAAATTATCTCAGGAAAACGAGAATTTATCTCAGGAAAACAAGAATTTATCTCAGGAAAACGGGAATTATCTCAGGAAAACGAAAAATTATCTCAGGAAAACGAGAATTTATCTCAGGAAAACGAGAATTTATCTCAGGAAAACGAAATATTATCTCAGGAAAACGAGAATTTATCTCAGGAAAACGAGAATTTATCTCAGGAAAACGGGAATTATCTCAGGAAAACGAAAAATTATCTCAGGAAAACAAGAATTTATCTCAGGAAAACGAAATATTATCTCAGGAAAACGAGAATTTATCTCAGGAAAACGGGAATTATCTCAGGAAAACGAAATATTATCTCAGGAAAACGAGAATTTATCTCAGGAAAACGAAAAATTATCTCAGGAAAACGAGAATTTATCTCAGGAAAACGGGAATTATCTCAGGAAAACGAAATATTATCTCAGGAAAACCGTAGTGACGAGAATTTATCTCAGGAAAACGAAAAATTATCTCAGGAAAACGAGAATTTATCTCAGGAAAACGAGAATTTATCTCAGGAAAACGGGAATTATCTCAGGAAAACGAAAAATTATCTCAGGAAAACGAGAATTTATCTCAGGAAAACGAAATATTATCTCAGGAAAACGAGAATTTATCTCAGGAAAACGAGAATTTATCTCAGGAAAACGGGAATTATCTCAGGAAAACGAGAATTTATCTCAGGAAAACGAGAAAAAAAAAATTTCTCCATGTCACTTCCGGGGCTCCGTACAACTGTACCTTTTAGCTAAATCTATTGCTTATTACTTAAAATAGATTTCTAGAGTTTTCTCTCTCTGTCGCTTAAACAAAAATAAAATTGATAGATCTACATCTTGATTCTTGGCAAGTTGTGCTGATAATAATAATGCATGATCACGACGTCAGATATGCAGAGTTTCTTTTGAAGAGTATTCATTTTTTTTTTGAGTGACGTATCGGCAATACTTCTCATGGCGGAGCTACTGCATTGTAGGTAAAGTTACAGGGTTAAATCATTTTTTCAAGAATTCTTTGAGAGAGATACATGGTGTAACCCTGAAAACTTTGATTATATAATAATCCATTTTTTTGTTGACAGTGAAAATAAGGGATACTTTGGCTAATTCCCAATAAAAATGAAGTATATAGGAGCCACTCACCCCATAAGATAACTTACATTTATTTTAAAGGTTTTCTTCATAACTTTATAGATTGTATGATATCAGGGGAACTTCCCCTTTAAATTAACTCTTAGAATACTGATGTGCTGTCATAGTTCTGATCAGCTTTCATCATACCTTAGTCATGTAGTACAAATAGTAATGATAATAATACAAAAAATTATATGGCGCTTGTGAAATAAAAGTTTCAAAGCGCTGTACACAAATCAATATTACTAATGGAATTGACATTACTTAAATTACCAAGAAAACAACATATTTCTAACATAACTTAACAAATTAACATTACTTAAATTACCAAGAAGATCAAATATTACTAAGATAACTTACCAAATAAAAATTACTTAAATTACCAAAAAGATTAAACATTAGGCCTACTAAAGAAAATAACAAAACATGTAAATTCCTTGGGGGGGGGGGGTGGAGGAAGAAAATGGGTATGATAGAATTGTTCGAAGTAGGCAATGTATATTGAGCAGTTTTTTTTTTACAAGCTTCCAAGTTTCAATACCTGTCAAATTTGTGACTGTATAATTTGATACTTGTGTTTGTGACAAAGAGAACATTTTATATAGCACATGTACATGTAATTTATATTGTATTAAATAGAAAATAAGAAAAGTATTGGAGGAATTTCAAACGGTAGATATAAGAATGTTTCTTCTTCTTCTTTTGTATTCAATTTGGTATCTTAATTCATGTTAAACAAAATCTTGTTCAAAATATAAGTTTGAAAAGCATGACACTTATTTTCCAGCTGATGTTACACTTCAGATGATCATTTGATGAAACATTGAAAATACATGTAGGTAGTTGAAAAAATATCTAAGGTATAGGGAGGCTGAATATTATTTTGTTACACTAAATAAATCTGATATTTAATGAGGTTGCATTTGCCCTGTAAAATTCAAAGAATACATAAAAACAAGTACCCATCAATGAATTTCTGCAGCACATTTCAATTTGTATTACATGATACAAGGATACTTGTTAAAAGTGCAGGTAGTTGAGTGAACATCTGATGAAAGGAAGTGAGATTGGGGTAGTCAGATCAGAAGCATGCAGTAACATCCTACGCTTCCTGCCTCTACTCTAGAATTGACTCTCAATCTCATTCTCAGTCATACATTATCCATGTTGATTAATAAACAGCACAAATCTAATTACAATAGTCATTATGGAATTGAAAATTTGAAATACATGTAGGGTTATTCCTGATTTCCTATGTATGTTATTTATTGATTAACAGTGCAACTAGTGCACTATGCAAGGCATTTGCACTTTATTTTGTAGAAAAAAATTCTGGTATATTTTTAGACTAGTATGTAATTCTGATGATTTTTGTTTTGTTTTTGTTCTTCCTAATCTTCTCCTTCTTCTTCTATTTTTTCTTTTTCTTCTTCTCTCTCTTTTAATTCTTATTTTTTTTAAGTTCTTCTTCTTTTTCATTTTTATTTTTTTACTTCTGAATTATTACTATTTTGTTGCTTTTATTGGTGTTAGGTTAACTTTTGTCTATATGAGTGATATTTCAATAATTTTGTACTTCCTCTCGAGACTTGTAACTTCTGAGAGAAATGGTCTTCAAAATCTATAAATTTTCCTCTTGAGTATTAATACCTTTAAGACACTGCTGAAAACAAATTGTACACAAGTGAAGGACTTGTATCAGAGACTTAATCCATTTCTTTGCCTTATGTGCATAAAAGCAGACATGTTCACAATACAACCTACAGTAGAGTGTGAAATTTGATATCATGTTCTGTAATTGTTTGTTTTCTCTCTCTTTCTATCTCCCTTTCTATCTATATCATATTAGCATACAGGACAGTATGCGGAGTCAATGGACCTCTGGTTATCCTGGACAATGTGAAGGTATGTATATCATTATTTGTATAGTTACCAAGAAAAATAAATTTTGTATGAAAAAATGTAATACCTTTGTTTATCTTTCTGTCGGAAATGAAATAAATATGAATTGAATCGAATTGAATTGAATTGAATTGAATTATCAGGATATTGGTCTAATGTAACTCTTCTTCTGAAGGGGTATTTAGTACAATAGTGACATTTGTAAGAGAAAGATTGAAAAGATGCTAGTTAATTCTTATAATAGTCAAATTTTATGATGTTGTCTAATCGATATACAGTGTGTAAGGATTTAATGAAAATATCTTTTTTCATGATGGCTGAATGTTTTTAGAACATATTTATTTGTCCAAACAACAAGATTGCATGTAAAGAACAAAGAGGATGTTATTTCCACCTTTTATTTCCAGGATTCCAATTCAGTCTTGTTATCAATGGTTGTTTTTATTGTTTAAGGGTGAAACTTAATGATTCCGATATAAATGATCGAAACATTTCCGTTCTTTTGTTGCAGTTCCCCAAGTTTGCTGAGATCGTCACACTGACCCTCAACGATGGGTCAAAAAGGAGTGGTCAGGTGCTGGAGGTCAGCGGAACAACAGCAGTAGTACAGGTAAGTGGTTCATGAAAGGTCAAGGGTTAATATTTCACCATCATCTTGCTGTAAGTTTATAGAGAAGCTACATCATTTAATAAATGAGTCATAGGCTAAAGAGAAACATTAAGCTTGTTGAAGTTGATTCTGTGTGTTATGATTTCAATATTTGATTTCCTCATGTATTTGAGAGATTGAGGCATTATTCTTCTTCTATCATTGTTGTTTTTGCACATTGTTGCACTTAATTGTTGGATTTTCTAGTATATTTCAGATATTGAGATAAAGGGTAAAAGCATTGTACATGTACATGTATTCCTCTGTTGATATTGTTGGTTAAGCTAAACTGTGAATGACCTTCCACTATTTATCAGGAGCGTAGAGTCTATGTTAATGTTCATATCATTCCTCAAGACATTCCTGTTTTTAGCTACGACATCCTCTCAAGAATAATACTAATGCCAACAAAGACCAACAAAAAATATCTGATTTTGAAACGCTGACCAAGAAAAATAAATTTGTGACAGTGTAGAGCAAGTTCCACGAGCGCCCATCATGATCAGAGACAAGAAGCCATCATCACCATCACCATCATCATCATTATTATCATTTACATGTTTTTGTTTATGTGATTGTTCCACCAGGTATTCGAGGGTACATCAGGTATTGATGCTAAGAATACAACATGTGAATTCACTGGAGATATCTTGAGAATGCCTGTCTCAGAAGACATGTTAGGTAAATATCTTGTTCTTTGATTGGGATTAAGAAGCTTCAAGATGTATCTTAATACTGATAACTTTCTATCCTATTTGTTTAAGGGTTAAAAAATGATTTATTGAAAAGTTATGTCTTCTATAATGAACAATGATTTATGAATAGTATACACACATCATTTACCGAAAGATTATGTGACAAGAGTACAAGACTTGTCTAAAATTACTCAAAATGTGCTTATGGGAAACAACATTCAAAATTTTAATGTACTTACCATATTTCAATACTGTTATAGATGGCTGACTTTACTAAAAAGATACAAATTAAAAGACTCTTGAAGAAGTAATGTTCTATTGCCATCACTATTGATAAAAGTTGTATTTCCAATTGTAATCACTTCTACATATACTTAAATTAAATGCTGGTGGTCAGTGAGGGATATTATGAATATTAGAGCTACAACTGTAGGAATATTCTTGACCTGGGGGCATGTTTAATCTTTGTCTGAGTGCAAGACTTTTTTTGTCTTTTGCATGTGAGAGCGCGTCACAGCCTCGCATTTAAAGTAGGAGTGATAGAAATTATTTTTGCCTTCTCTACTTAAGGGTAATACTACTCCCATATTTCCTCTCTTTGTCTTGTCCAACAGGAAGAGTATTTAATGGTTCAGGTAAAGCCATTGACAAAGGGCCAGCTGTCCTAGCAGAAGACTTCTTGGATATCCAAGGTAAGAAAAATTGCTTTTAAAACTACTGGGCCCTGAGAACTTACCCAATACCCATCTGTTCCCTCAAATTAAGTTAATCCTGGCTATGCATGTTTTTATTTTGTTTTTTACATTTTTTGGTATTTTTTTTTTTTTTGTAATGTAAAGTTGAAGGTGTTTGGTGAAGTGATGTAATAAATAGAACAAAAACACGAAAAAATCAAGAGAAGCACCTAAGATTTAAAATGCTGATTTAAATAAATAATGATGAGAATATGGAGAATTGTTACCTTGTTATAACAAAAGTTTGTTACAACAATTTTTATAATAAGGCCCCACTGTTTTATTTGGCACCCTGTCTCTGGTTTTGGAGATTGGTCAATATGTTTGTTCTTGGTGTATATTGTATGCAGGTCAACCCATCAACCCACAGTCTCGTATCTACCCTGAGGAGATGATTCAGACCGGTATCTCAGCTATTGATGTGATGAACAGCATCGCTAGAGGACAGAAGATCCCCATCTTCTCTGCTGCTGGTCTCCCTCATAATGAAGTACGTTTTAAATGACATTTAAAGCCCCACTGCACTACTTGTAGCCACTTGTGCCCTCTATATAGCAAACAATGCCTAATCGGTGCCTGTTGGTCCCCCATGATCCCCTTTTTCTTATGTTAATCGAGAGCTGATTTGATGAGATAACCACCTGTCAGTGACCATGCAGGGAGGTCTAATCCATCCATGCCAAACTAGTACAGATAAGCTTTAAATGGAATTTAAAAAGGTTATAGTTTGCATATAAATTGTCTATTTTTGTTTTTCATAACACTTTAAATAGTTGTCAGTTTGTGAGCATAACTGAGTAAATGAAAGGCACATCAAAGATTTGTTAAGTTTTGATTGAGGAGAAGAAGTTTCATTTTGTAATTTTGTTTTCTCATTTATTGTGAGGGAACATGTACTTCTGTATAAAAGGTATAACAATGGCAATTGCCATTTACCTGTAAGTTGTAAATATTTCAATCATTATAACTGTTATGAAATTTCACAAAGGTTTTTCTTGTCTTGCCAATGGTGCGAAGCTTACTCTTGACCAACTTGGAACCAGTATATTTTGAAGATTTTATTTTTGCATTCTTTGACACTGTAGCTTCTAACATAGTAAATCTTTCAACTGTAATACTGGAGCCCAAGGATCATTGAGCACAGGACAAACATGAGCATTATACAAGAATTCAGTATTAAGGCTTGTTCAGATATGAGTAATAACTCGCCGTATTACGTATTACACTTTACCTCATCATAAAAGAATCACCCAGGTTTTGCCCCGGCATATCTGAATGAGGCTATATTGTTATTATTGCCATACTACTTTCGTCCAATGTCTTCACCCTTTGTGCTTTCACATTGCTCTCTCAAACCAGATTGCTGCCCAGATCTGTCGTCAAGCTGGTCTGGTCAAACTCCCAGACAAGGGTGTCTTAGATGGACATGAAGATAACTTTGCTATCATCTTTGCTGCTATGGGTGTAAGTAGATTACTTCTCTGTTATTTTGATTCTTTGACTCTTTATAATATCATCATGTAACCAATGCAGTGTAGAGCTTGATACAGGCCGTAGCGTATTGGAAGAGATAGTTTCGACAGGTGCATCTACGTGCACACAAGCGGGGTCATAGGTTAAATCATGTTGCTCCAAATAGTTCCTCCCACATAGAATCTCTATGAGAGGGAGCTATTTTGGAGTATAGTGGGGTCATTCTTAATCTTCACATGTTGTTCCTGTCAATACTCATTGCAGACATAAACCAGAAAAGAACGAAAAACATAGAAGATGTATGTATTAATGATTTCCTTCAATTTTTGTATAGGTGAACATGGAAGCTGCTAGGTTCTTCAAGCAAGACTTTGAAGAGAATGGTTCTATGGACAATGTGTGTCTTTTCTTGAACTTGGCCAATGATCCCACGTGAGTTTTCTCTAACTTTTTCTGACTAAAACTTAAAGTTACTAATCGCTACTTTATTTTAATTTTTTTAACACACGTGTGTAGGTAGATACATGTAGCTCAAACATCCCATTTTAAATATGGGTTGAATATGAATATCTTACAATTTGAAGCCTATTTTACCCTCCTCACTTTGGATGTTTCCAATAAACATATTTTTATATACAGCATATGAAGGATTCATTAAATTCAAATAGCATGCCCCATATTTGTTTGAATTGTGCATATGTATTCAGCTAGACTTTTCAAGAGAGTATAATGCAGAGGAAACATATATCAGGCTAGATGTCCATTACTGATGCTGTATCTGAAGAATTGCTATAATTTGTGTAATTGATTGCTGACCAAGTTTGATGTATTTCCTTGTAGGATCGAGCGTATCATCACACCCCGTCTTGCACTGACTGCGGCAGAGTTCTTGGCCTACCAGTGTGAGAAGCACGTCCTTGTTATCCTGACTGACATGAGCTCCTATGCAGAAGCCTTGAGAGAAGTAAGCATTGTTCTTTACTTATTAAATTAGTGAATCAAGCAAATTACCTAGGATACAATTTGAATGCCAAACATGTATAAACACATTGCAATGATTATTCCAGTGTCACATTAAAAACTCTGTATTCGTATTTTGTATTTACTAGAAAACTTCAAACAATATAAATAGTATGTATTTGAGCATTATTTCAAATAAGATTAAATGTGTTGAAAATGACAAACGGTAGTTCATATAAAAGCTTTTGCGATGATAATTTACCCACCTGTAATTTGTTGTAGTACTGGTTGTATTTTCACTATTTCTTCAAGACATTTCAACTGTTTGCTTTTCGTGTTAGCGAGGGCTAAGGTATGTAGTGTTTTATCTTCAGTGATGGCATGAGCTTGACCCTTTTTAATTTTTTAAATTTTTATGGAGCACTTACTATTGTCTTAGTCTTGCTCAACTAAACTGAGGTAACCAGAAGAAATCTATGGTTTTGTCTTCTTCTGTAATGACAAAAGTTATGTGTTTCTTAAACTTGCAATAATTTCTGAATTCTAAATGACCGTTTTCATGAAGCTCGATCAGTTAAATAAAGCTTACTTATATCAAGACAGATGCTGCCGTAAATATACAATGAACATTAAAACTAAGACTTTGGTGAATATATAGTACTCTTCATTGATTTGACTCTAGGTGTCCGCTGCTCGTGAAGAAGTTCCTGGTCGTCGTGGTTTCCCCGGTTACATGTACACTGATTTGGCAACCATCTACGAGAGGGCAGGTCGTGTCGAAGGTCGCAATGGATCCATCACTCAGATCCCCATCCTGACTATGCCTAACGATGGTAAATACTGTCTCATGATCTTCATCATATCCAGTTTAGTATCCAATGATGCTTTACAGAGGGAAAGTAATAAGGAAAGATGGTGATCAAACATAGAAAGAAAATAGAAAGAAAGACAAGGAGAAAGAGAAAGAGAAAGTTTGATTGATCAGAGAGAGAGAGAGATATATAGAGAGAAAAAAAAGAGATTGAAACTAGCGAAGGAATGGATGAGATAGAGGAATGAATTTAGAGAAATAAGGATGAATTAGGGCTTTTGTTGAATATTGAATATTTTTAGAAGTAAATTTTAATATACCACATTCTGAAGGAAAATAAATTGAGACAAATTTGCACATCTTTCAAAAAATTACAAAAGTTTTTTAAAGATATGAATGATTTAATTGTTCACTTAATATGTTTCTGTTGATAATGAAATAAACCGAGGATGCATTAAAAAAACAAAAACTTTTCTATTCCTTTTCAGATATCACCCATCCAATTCCTGATCTGACAGGATACATCACAGAGGGACAGATCTATGTTGACAGACAGCTAGACAGTAGACAGGTATGATACAGAAAACTTTCATTGGTCAAGGTATTCATAACATGTTCATACCTGCCAACCCTTACAAATAATCCGGAATATTCTGTTTTCTAGATTTCTAGGACCTGAAAATCCGGAATATTCAGTTTTTTCAAAATTTCATTTGTTTTTTTTTAAACGATTTTTTAAATATTTTTTTTTAAAGGTGCTAAAGCGAAATTAAGCTTGTTTTAACATGTGCCAGGATTTGAGAGTTCATATATTGTTTGTGTTGAATGGCTGCATGATCAAGCAGCGAATTTGTATTCGCTTTTCAGTACAGATTTACCGCGTATTGCCGGCATACCGTGCTAAAAATTCCTAATTCTTATTTTCAAATGTTGGCAGGTATGGGTTAGGGTAATCATAACATGCAATTTAAGCTTCTACTAACCTTAACATTTAGTAGGCAAGCTTTTGTCCACTCCTGTGGACTTTCACAAGCCAAGTGATTATTCACACAGTTTCTTGCTGTCTGCTGCCTCAACACCACTTTAGCCAGATTTCTAATCAGTAAAGGATTGATCCTTTTTATAGACGGGTAATATACTCCATCAACAACTTCTCTCTCTCTCTGTCTCCCTCTCAAATTTGTAATAATCTCTCTTGTGTATTCTAATGAATTAAACAACATTATTTCCCTTTAAACTTTCAGGAATATCTTTTGTACAGAAAGGTAGATTAATAAACAAATTAACTAATTCAGTGATCACAAATATTAAATAGTATTATCCTTTGATATACAAGTGGATTACTCTCTTTTCCTTTCAAGATTTATCCACCCATTAATGTGCTGCCCTCACTATCTCGTCTTATGAAGTCTGCTATTGGAGAAGATATGACAAGGAAAGATCATGCAGATGTATCAAACCAACTGGTGAGTTGGACATAGTTGCTTATTAAATGGCAAATCAAACCCTTGTAGTTAGTTCAATTGGATGAAAGCAGAGAAATCAGAGACTGCGTCATATCTGAACGAACCTTTAATGAGATCAAACATGACATTTTCTGTGGTTCAGTACATACTTAACAATAGGGTGTAAACTGTTATGGTCAGACTAGAATGAAAGTGTAAACAGTGTGAACATTGGTGATGTCTATTCCATGAAACATTTTTGATGCATGAAAAAAAGCATTGAAAATGAAGAACTAAGACTGATTTATGATACTTTTATATAAAATTGAGTCAGGTAACATCTTTGCAGCAGTACACAAGATTTGGAATCGATATTTAAACTAGAAGAAATAGTCTTTATTCTGGATATGCAGATAAAGTAGACTTTGTATGGATTGATTCGGTGGAAGAAAAAGACCTCATTGATATTAGCAATGTAAGAGAAAAGGATGTGATATGTATTAGTAGCAGTAGCTATACTAATATGTGCATTTATATGGCACAGCTACTGCATGGATATACTATATTATGTAACTGAGCCGCCATGATATTTGTTAGTCATGACCGTTATAACAGTATGTCACAGTAAAGTTGCTGTAAAATTCCAACACCCTCTGTCTCCCTTCCCCACCAGTATGCCAACTATGCTATCGGTAAAGACGTCCAGGCCATGAAGGCTGTGGTGGGAGAGGAAGCTCTCTCTCCTGATGATCTCCTCTACCTGGAGTTCCTGGGCAAATTTGAGAAGAACTTCATCACTCAGGGTAAGTTTCATGGATTCGGCGGAGGGACCTTAACGGTTACGGCGATTAAGTTTGCTCTCCTCTTCCCGATCTTTTGCACTCAGAATATTGCTAGACAAATTTGTATTTGTATAATTTTTTTCATTCTAATTTTGTAATCACCTTGATTTTATTGTTTCATTGTTGTATTTCTTGAAAGTGCTGAATAAATAATAAATAAATAACTAAATAAAAATGGATCCTTGTCTTGCCTCGAGGAAAAATAGACGATAGAAGGTCTTGACAGACACAGACCTGCGAACCAGTACGATTTAGTTGTATTTCGTATTATTTTTAGAAGCAAATACGACAGTACGATTTTCCTCAATAACATACGATTTTTGTGTGTTTGTTCCATTTTCAATGGCAAAATGCACATTCTGTCCTGTAAAGTATCTGACAAGCATCTTACATCGGCAATTTGTTCCTACATACAGGAAGTGTTCAATGAACTGCAAGAGGCATTGATCCTAGTAACAGTCCGTGTTTATTTTAAAGAATACAACTTTTGTCAGTAAAATACAACTTTTGAGATTAAAGAATACAGATTTTGAACTCCAGAGGTTGGCAGGTCTGCAGACATCTAAGCTTTTTGTTAACAAATCTAAAGCAATTTGGTGATTACTTTATTTTTTGCGGGATATTCGGTTGGGATGATAACAGAAGGAAATTTATTCAATACTCCTTTATTGTTGAGAATGAACAAGCCCTCCAATATGAAGAACTTGCAATAGTTTATCAGTGTTTGAGAATCTCTTTATTTTAACATTTTTTTTTGGTTTTGTTTCAGGTCTTGCTTATTTAAGAAAAAAAAGCACTGATAAAATACTTTTTCTGAGAATTTTCTCCCTCTCATATAGAGTCGAGGATTGCGAAATTGGGCAAAATACTTAGAAGTTAATGTTTGTTTTATTAGCCTACACAATTCACATAATGAGGCTGTATTCTGAATTTTGAGTGCATGTGTTTATTTCTTTGTCACTCTATCACAAGCACTATCACTTGAATATTTCTACTCCCATTTTACCCCATTTTACCCCACAGGTAATTACGAGAACCGTTCCGTGTTTGAGTCTCTGGACATCGGCTGGCAGCTCCTACGTATCTTCCCCAAGGAGATGTTGAAGAGGATTCCTCAGAACGTCCTAGCAGAGTACTATCCTCGAGACTCAAGACGTTAACCTATAACCTTTATCATCGCTCTCTTGTTTCTTCGTTAGTTAAACCGCTATATTAAAGTATTTCATTTTCTTTTTCTTTTCGGGCAATAAATATGTGTTGTTATTAATGGGATTTGTAATCATGTTTCTTGGTAGTTTAATATCCTTTCTTCCTTCTTTTATCCACACCATCTCATTTCTTATGTTGTAATTCAGCTTTTACATGTATAGATGATAGGACATTTTCATATGTCCCCCCCCCCCCCCCCCCCCAGAATATTCCAGTTGCCCCTATATTAAACGTTGTTACACAAATTGTGAAGAGATTTCTGGTTTTGAGAAGAGAGTTCTGGTTTTAAATGAAATTAGAAGTACATCAGCCCTAGAAACATACAATGAATAGTGGATAAGAAGTAATTTCATAACATCATGACAGTCAAATTAAGTAAATTGAGGAATCTGTTGAAGTGTTGTAATGTGTGTATGGAAGTAGTATGATGTTAATGAACAAAAGAAATGAAAACAATGTTGAAACATTGAATCGGTCTTTATGTATTTCAGCATATTCTTAACTAGCAGTTCCCTTGATAAGAACATAAACCAACTCATTATTAAATCCTGCCTTTCCCGTTATGCATGTAACATTGGACATAGTCTCCCTGTAAATGTATTGTAAGAATTGTCTTATTTGAATGTTGATACTCTAGAAAGGAATCCACAGTGAACAATTATTTGTGATTACAGTATTTATTTTGTGCAACTTTGTGCTACCGAGACAATTTAATTCATACTTGTGTTCACGCTGGGCATCATATGCATCATAGATATTAAAGATATATGTTATATGTTGAAATATTTGTATTGGTTAGTATAGGGTTATAGATCTGCTGGAATCACACAGGGAAGAGTTAAAAACTTTGACAGAAATGGAGGTACATACAAAAATAAATTATATTATTGCCGTAAAGTATTTTACTAGCATTGTGTAAGAATATGATCTTTCAAACTAGAATATAAAGGAGGCGTTCCCTTCTTTAGTAAACACATTAGATATTCAATATATTATTAGAAAGTTAACTTGTCTTTTTGTTGTTGATAACATTGAATGTTTCATGTTGTCTGTGATTAAATTCCACATACCAAACATTCCAAGGACAATCAGTAAAACAACGCCAATTAAAAATACGTACATGTCGTTAGCAGAAGTTTGCTTTAGACTTTTATTTCCTTTTTTAGCTAGAAGCTATGTACAACCCTCTCTTCTACTATGCATGCATGTGCATGTAATGTAGGCTTAATTCTAATGGCAATCTTTTCTCTGCATGTTTGGTAATTAATCAGAAGTACTTGGGTTTATCAAAAAGTGGTGCTTTGAGCAAAGGGGTTATTTTTTTAGTCTCTACTCTTTTATTGCATGATTACTATTGCACTCATGCAATGAATTTAAGTACCATATTTTCCCCTTAACTTTTGAAGACGGGTGAACCAGTAAGTAAGGTAATGTCTACGTCCATGACATTCTCCCTAATGAATTTAGAAAATGCAAAATTGTACAAAGAAAGACATTTATGCAATTCATGTCATATTTTGATTTGTGACTGAGCCCATGCTCTTTCTAATGGATAGTGAGGATGTATAGAAGGGTCTTTAAAAATTGAATTACAGTACATGGCAATACTGCATTTCCACCAAACAACACATTCTTGAAAAGAATTTTATGATTGATATTGAAAGTAAACAACTTAACAAAATTCTTGCATTCGCAAACAAATATTGAAAAGTGTTAGAATGTGAAAATATGTATTGTGCATGCCTTTGAAATACATGTTTGTAAGCATGCTTTCAAAAAGCACATGGTATTGTTCTGAAGTAAACGGTACAATCAAAAGCACAGCCATTTGAATTTCTCTGCACACTGGCAATCAAGATTCATATTTCATCTGCCTTTTATTAAAATGTGAAAATATTGCAATTTTTTTTGTCCGCCAGCTTGTTATAACTCTAGATAAAATAGTTTAGATTAATTAATGGTTATATTAAATAGATGCTGATGCTCAGTGATGAAGAATATTTTGATGGAAGTCTTGTGAATGTAGCTCTAATACATTGTAATTACTCTTCATATGTATCTTATCATACAAACGTGTATTTCCAAGAGATACATGTTCAAAAGTATTGTATGTTAGTCTTATAAAAGTATGTACATATAGATGTTAAAAATGATATGGTTCATAGAAATTTATCAAAATGAATGCTATATTGATATAATCCCAATGTGAGATTACAGAATGTTTAAGTTGGAGGTAAATTTATTACCAAATCACCAACATATAAATTCATTTATAATCAATAGAGTACCACAGTGCTAATGTCACATTCGCTCGCCATCAAGGTGACTGGTTCTAAACGATAGCCTGGTGCATGAGGTTCACCTTGAAATCATTCAAGCAACGGACTGGAGCAGGGAAAATTCAGTGTTGGGGCTGGTGTGATCACCACACCATTGTGTTTAGCACAGAATTGTTTGGAACCAGCAAACGTGACACCTGGGCCAGTGTGACATCACTCTTTGGTACTTTATATACATACATATGATTTGGAAACTTGAGCAGAATGTTTATCGTTGGATGTATATCATATTGGATGTTGAATGTCAGTACTGCAATAAATGATATATACCATGTATATTTACCCAAGTGATGGTGTGAGGAGTTTGTTTAATGATTGCCATAAATCTAATAGGAGAAAAAAATGAGACAGAAGTAAATTGTATTTTCATAAATGCAGGGCCTGTACTGTGCAATATTAAATACATGTAATTCAAATTTATTTGTTTCACTCAATTAAAAAAAATATGTACACTAGGCGTTGTGGCGTGCGCCTGTAATCCAGCTAACAGTGGAAGTTACAAACTGATTCAGCCGAGGACGCAGGTTCGAAACTGAGTCACGTCTTTCGGATGGTGACGTTAAAAGTCGGTCCCCAGACGTAAATAATCATATCTGATTGATACACGTCTGTAAAAACCCAATAACACACAATACACACACACCATTCAAGTTTTCAGTGAAATAAAAAAAAAACAATACAAAAGTCATTTACAATATATAAATTACATAAATACAGAGTAGGAAAAAAATACATGTACACGATAATAGAGCTTGGGTCGAGTGAGGAACACAAACTGTACGTTTACCAAATACTAATCAATTGTATTTTCCCATTTTAAAGGTACTATGCCCCTTTTGCAGCCAACCTCAAATTATGTAGAACTTTGCAGGAAATATGAATATGTCATCTAGATCCTATCTGTGAAATTTAAACGTTAGCAGTGTCCTAATATTCAAATTATGCAAGTAAACCAGTTTACTTGCTAGACTTAACTGTCAGACACTATTGAGTGACTGACTGGCATTTTTTTCTTCTTTGGTAATAACATACATAAAATGAGCTGTAAAGGGTACATGAGCATTTGTGTACATCAATAACCCACTTCTTGTGATGGCCAAAATTAAACTGATTGAATCTTTGCGCAGCATAAAACGTATGACCATTCGGTACAATGGTCTGAAAATCAAGACTATTACTTCTTGGCTCTATAGCTCCTAAGTCGATTGGACAACTAATAGTGGTTATTTTCTCACTTGAAGACATTTTCAAGCCACACCTTTTTTAGGGAAGTTCTAAATTAGTATTATCTTTCAAATGCCGTTGGAATTTAACCTTTTCATTTTTTTGACCTGCAAATGGGACATAGTACCTTTAAAGATCAGTAACCCTTAATTTCAATAATTTTTATTATCTATTATTTTGTTAGTCTTTAACAAAAAATGTTATTCATCATATTATTTATCCTTGGGGAAAGGAACAATTAAATATTAATAGTCAGTATGGAAATGACAGGGACAAGAAAAAACTAAAAAGCTATCTTTCTTCCTTTTTTATTTTCGACATGTGAATCAATAGTGGATTTTTATGTTCACGTTTCATAAAAATGAAGAACAGTTAAATATTGATAATCAGTATAGGGAAACGACAGAGACAAGAAAACACAGAAAAACAAACCTTCTTTATCTTTTTCATCTTCACTCTGTGAATCGATAGAATATTTGTATTTTCAATTACCTTGGAACACATGAATAAACATTGGATATCGACAATTTATAGCAATGACATTGACAATGATAACAGGGTAATGACCCAAGAGAATATACAACAAAAAAAAATCTCATGATGAATTATCGATTGTGGAGGGGGAGAGAGAGAGAGAGAGAGAGAGAGAGAGAGAGAGAGAGAGAGAGAGAGAGAGAGAGAGAGAGCAAGGGGGGGGGGGGGGGGGGGGGGAGGGGGTTTAGCTATATGCAGACCAATTTCTTCTTGTAAAGTTGTATAATGAATTAATGATGATAACACTAATGATTATATTATCATAATATGTAAGGCATTCCAATCTATTACAACCCTACAAGCCTACCTTGAAGAAAACACAATTAGATTTTTATCCATAGCATGGTGATATGAGTTTTCCTTCCCAGGCCAGGCGCTATACTAAAATTATTAGTAGGCGTACTGTTTCTGAGATCTGCGATACAAAAACGTTATTCTTTGAGCTGAGGCTAGAACGTTCAGCACGCTTCGTAAATATCTAATCCATGAAGAAAAGTGAAAATAGTGTTATTGGTTCGCAAGATTCACACTACGGCAGCACATAAGTAGACCTGTAATGATATAGAAATCTCAAAATTAATTTCAAAACTCCTAGAGCAAAATAAAAATGGCAAATCGACAATTTCCATCTGCTTTTCTGAAGTCTGTGTTACAAAACGGAGTTGGACGATATGTGTGCCAGTTGCAACGACTGACTTTCCAGTTTAGTAAAGTCCATGGAACGAGCAGAGGTGTTCGGTAAGTAATCTTGACTCTAAAGTAGATAACTCGATATATCATATGTTAAGGAATGATTAAGTATTTAAGATGAACAAAGACTTCAAGTTGCATTTATGAAGAAATTTGCAGTTATCGATTCATTGCAGCTTACATGAATTTAAGTATGTGGGGCAATGATATTGTGAATATGGAGTCTGTAATATTAGTCTTGATCAAGGCACTACGTTATTCAGATTCAAGATGTTTTCGACATTTTGGTTTAAAACAAATACAAAGATGTATAATATTATTCAAAATATTTTATGAAAACATAAAAAGGGGATATTGTTGCCATGTAGATCTAGATTTATCTAGGTCAAGTCAAACAGAACAACAACTCAAAGTCAAATGAAGGTAAAAATGTGAGATGGGAGCACGATCTGGTGGACCATGGCCGAGTGCCAGATGGGGACATTTTGTTCACATTTTAATTTTGGATGGGAGAGGGGAGAGGGGGATATGATATTCATGTACTATCAAATTGCTTTTGTTACCATTTTACAAACAAAAATCTTTTGTAATTTATTTACTCGCTTACGGCCTAGATTGCTTGTTCAATACGGTATGTAAATTTACATTTTTAGGTTTTTTGATTACCTATTCTATTGGCTGTTTGTTTACCAATATGTTTCATTCCATTTTTTAGGGACTACATAGAAGAGGATATCATTGACTTTGCACGGAAGAATCCTCAGGTGGTACTCTACGTCACTCCACATAACAAGTTTTCTAGTCCAAGGATAGTCGCTGAATTCTGTGAGTGCTAATTTTGCAGTAATTCATGTGTATAACATGATGCTTAAACTTTAAAGTCAGTTTTTAACTTTAAACTGGTCTAAACTTTTGATGTAAAGACCCAGGTTATTGTTTAAACAAGAAAGAGAAATAATTGATTCTTGATGAAGTCATCTTGAGGCACAAAATTATGAAAATATACAAAATGCATGGTAGACTCAAAATTTTGTTTTAAAGTTAAATGTAGTCTCATTTATTCATATCACTCAACAATTTAATACGTTCAAAAAGATTGGTCTGCATATATTAAATCCCTGATATGCAAATACAGTTGTGTAAAATTTGTTGTACCTACTTTTTAAAATCATATTTATGAAATTATTTTTGTTATATCATGTTTCAAAGATTGCCAGATGTAAAGAACAATCCGTTTCATTTTCGGTAAGATCTTGTAACATCATCTCCTTTAAATCATCTCTTCCCTGTTTCTTGGCAGTGAATGGCACCAAGCGATCCGTTCAACTGAGCACGCTCGACAGGGAAGAGGTCTCCACACAAGTCGACCTTCTCCGCACCCAGTCAGGGAACGACCTGGTGCGAATCCGCAGGCCCTACCATACAGACTTCCCCAGTATTCAGGGAGCCTGGCATCCGTTCGCAAACAAACCTACAAACCTCAACATCGCAGAGTTTCCGACCAAGGAACCCACCTTCGCTCATCCCAAGACAAGGAGATGGGATGTCCTGGGCAGAGAGGAGATGGAAGATCACTTGAAGGAAGTGATCAAGCAGAAGGAGTCTGGATCATGAAAACTTGAAGACTATTCTGGACATTAAAGCTTTGTGCTCGAGAGATCTTCCATTGGGGAAAAAACCCCAAGTCATTGGACATTTTTGTATGTGATTGTGATGATCATGATTCTCTTGTGGTTGAAGTTGCTCATGTGTGGGTATATAGAGGGCAGCACATGGACGTATGCACAGGAGCGTAATACCCTTGGCTCAGTGTTATGTAGTGATTGCCAAGTTGCCTACTTCACAAACGACTATTTACCCTTGCATGAACATCTTTAGTTGAAAAGTGGAGACATGTGAAACCTCAGAAAGGACATTATTGTATATGAACATTCACTTCATAAAAAGTACCGATATATAAATGTACAATGTACTTTATCAAAGTTAATTTCAATAAAGTGTGAATGAATGATAACTTTCAAGTTTCTCAAGTTATTCTTAATTTTTTTGTGGTTAATATGTCCAGTTACGAGTCATTTAAAGATACCACCTAGCAGTCTACGACACAGATTTGATCCAAAATAGTTGAGATAGTTGAACAACCGTGTGAAAAAAGAGAACAGTTTCAAGTTTACCATTTTGCACTAGAGTTAGATATAAAAAAATAGGCCTATGAAGAAAAGTTTTTCTTGTAACACACTAAAAGTGATCTTTTTCGTTGGAACTTTCCAAAAGGATGTTTCAAGTCGAGATAATTCTATACACAATGATACATTTATGGTATATGGTGCATTTTGTTTTATTTTCTTGTATTGACAGCATTTGTTATGATGGTGTCAATCTCTTCTGTGTTTTCTCTCTAAAGGTTTATTCACATAGGTATGCTGTTCAGTGGTTTACTGCACCAAGCAAAAAATCTGAGACCGTTGCCCAATGCCTATGGACTTGTTCATGTATGCTGCAGTCTCCAATTTTCAGTGTTCTCTAAGTTCTCGTTGCTCAATCACAGAATTAATTATGAGATAAGTTGACCTTATTGAGAGCATCAAGTTTCCTCTCGTACTCTTTGATCCATAACCATCTCAATTTTGTGTGTATTTCTCCAATGATTTTATGTCCTCCACACATGCTAAGAAAGAGAGAGAGAGAGAGAGAGAGAGAGGGGGGGGGGGGTGGTGGTGGGGGGGAGGGGGGATGGGAGGGGTAGAAAATTACATGTATACAAAGACCTTGGAGCAATAGTAAGTACGAGCTTTAGTCTTCTTGCTCACCAGCACGGGTGGGTTTAAATAATGGTGCATTGTACTTACAAATTTACATTGATGATCTTGACATTTGACCTAATGACCCCCCCCCCCCCCCCCAATCTATATATATAATCCTTGTGATATGGCAATTCATAGTGGAACCAAATTGATGATGATATTTAACGCTACAATGCTCAGACTAACCTACGAGATTGTATACAGTACACGCCGAAAATCTCCGCAACACGATTTACACGATTCAAAATTTACACGATTCGACTGCTCGCGGGAATCGTGTAACCATTTATTTTTACACGATTCGTTTTTTGCCAATGAAGCGAAATTTGAATCGTGTAAACGTGTAATCGTGTAAAATTACACGATTCCTCAATTTAGGTCGAATCGTGTAATCGTGTAATCTGCCCGCCGAAAATCTCCGCAACACGATTACACGATTCAAAATTTACACGATTCGATTGCTCGCTGGAATTGTGCTACAATTTATTTTCAGTGGTGATGGTGAGCAGGTTAAGGACGTCTAGTTCAGTAAAAGCAAGAAGTTACTTCTTGGTTGAACGAGGACAACGTGGACGATACGAGGGGATAGCGAAGATTACGCTTTCTTTCTCTTGTATATATTTTTAATTGCAGTGTCTTGTCTCTAGTTTTATTATAGAATGTTTGAAAGTTAAAAAAATCAGTCCACTTCCCGAAAAGCACTCTCGGATTTAATCCTCGGTGAGAAAAAATAAAAAAGCGATGAACGACGAAGGAAGGCGGGAATTTCGTTATTCCTAAGTTGTAAATAAGTAAAAATAATTACAAAATGTAAAGGAGGGCTAACATAATTAAGTATGTTGTGATACTCTTACATTACAAGGCTGTACCAATTAGAATTACGGTTCACCAGCTCATTCGTTACTATGAATATCGTTATACTTTTTTTTTAATTCAATCATTATCCATTTTACAAACCTGGTTTGTAAAAACGCGTCATATGACGCACGAAAACCAAGGTTTGTCGACAAACCTCCTTTGTGAATTCGGGCCTTAGACTTTGATCACTTATTGCTTTTTTAGCGTTCCTCATTTTCGTAAATTACCTTTTACAACATTGCATTATTCAGCTATATGTATAAAGAGCTACGGTCAAGGCTTAAGGGCACACTTCCTGTCACATATAAAAGAAGCTTACTCTGAATGTGGCCTGCCATTGACCCTCGCCGGGGACAAAGGCCGTTGCCCTAGCTACAGGCAGAGATCCTTACATAATACCTATTGTTCAGGGGGTTCCCCTTGAACATAGGATCCCCCTGAACAATAGGTATTACATGTACATGTACATAAGTATGTAAGCCACTGGCTACAGAGTGTAGGGAACAGTTGCAAGCAGAGAATGAATAGAATAAGTGAATGGCCAACTGTCTTTGAGTTACGTTTAGCTAGCGGCACAGTGTCCCCCCACTATTTCAAGTTCCCCCAAAGTGCCCCTTTGTATGTAGGAAAAGTACCTATTTTACTTTGACAAGTGTCCCTATTAATTTGTAAAAGTGCCCCTTCCCCTTTTCAACTCTGATAAGTGCTCCTTTTCTTTTGACACACACCCCTTTTCCTTCGGCGAGTTCCTATTTTCCTTTACAATAAGTGTCCATTTTCCATTCTCTTTAGTGTCCTTTTAATCTCTAGTAAGTATCCCTCTTTAAGTACGAGAAGTGCCCCTCTTCACTTTTGATAAATACCCCCATCAACTCCGATAAATACCCCTATTAAAATCTGATCGGTGCCCCTTTTCTTTCAACTAAAGCTTTTTTTATCTCTCTCTCTCTCACTTCCATTCCCCCATATCTTTCTCGCCTCTCTTTCCCTCATTATGTTCCCCTCTTACCTTATTAATTTGTCTCTTTTCCTCTCCGTTTCATAGCCTTCTCATTTCTGTTAATTTTACTAGGTTTCGCCCTTCTTTTTTTTTATCACTCTATTTCACTCTTTCTTTTCTTCCGGTCAACTTTTTAGTTTTCCCTTTTTTCTCTCTTTTTTTCTGTTTATCTTTATCGTGCCTTTCAACCCTCATTTTCCTTTTATATGTTCCCTTCTCCTCCTAGCTATCTTTTTTCCTTTGCTATTTCATCTATCATGTCTTCCTGTTTCTGACGTTTTCCTACCTTGTCTCACGGATTAGTATACGATACATGTTAGTGGAAAGTGCCGAGGTTTATACACGAATATAAAGTACAGTAATTAACTGATGTACACTGAAGGTAAGTTGTGTATAAAGCAATTGGTGTAAGCAGGATAAGATTTAACGATTGTTGCAGCTTGTCGCATCGTTCTACCAATGCCCTTATAACCCTAATAACTATTTACACGATTACACGATTCAGAGCGACATTCTTCAATCGTGTAAATTTACACGATTACACAGTTACACGATTGTTACATCTGGTCGAATCATCCGACCAATGCACTTAACTATTTACACGATTACACGATTCAGAGCGACATTCTTCAATCGTGTAAATTTACACGATTACACAGTTACACGATTCAGGTGAATCGTGTAAACCGTGTAATCCTAAAAATAAATCGTGTAATCGTGTTGCGGAGATTTTCGGCGTGTACTGTATAAACATATTACTAATTTGTTGATGTTTTCTAAATGTGTATCGACATTGCTTCATGTGACATGAAGCAATGTCAATACACAAAAGAAAAACAAAAAATTTACAGTATTACCCTATTTCCTTTAAAATAATAATACTGTTTGGGTGGCAAGAAAGAAGAACAGAGCAAAAGAGAAATAAAGGTGAAGAAAGGGACGAAGATACAGGAGCAAAGCAAAGAAAGGACCAAAAGGAACCAGGAGAGAAAGGCAGAGAAATAGAACAGAGGAAGAATAAAGTACAAGGAATAGAAAGAAAAAGAATGGTGAAGAGGAAAACAAATATAAAGATAAGCAACAGAAAGGAAAAATGTGCAGTCCCACATGCAAGACACAGAACAACACTCGACAACAAGACACACACAAATACACATACATGTAAACTTATTACCTTCTTTTAGAGGTTTAGAATAAAGACTTTTATTAGGCAAATATATGAAAGAAAAACTGTACATAATTGTAATTTTCAGACGATATACATGGACATGACTCGACCAATGCAAATAAACTTGATGATAAATGATTGAAAATACCTGTACTGGTATAATGATACTTCTCCACTTCATGGAAGGCTGGTTTTACTTTAATAAGCCATGATTTGAACCTCTATAGGTTTTGTACATGTGTGCCTTCATGACATGTCTAAGGAATAGCAATATATACACTTGCGCTTATTTTAGTACATCCAAGGTGGAGGTTTAAAACAATGGATTATAGTTTAGAACATGACCTAAATTTCAAAATCCTTCACATGAATTTTGGAACAAGTAGTTGAACTTTTTCTGTTGCATGTCTGCAGCTTGGAGGAGCAGAGCAAGGTTTAAGCTCAGATCCAGGGCCCCCGTTTCATAAAACTTGGTATCAATAACAAATGCTAAATTTCTATGACAAATTTGCTCTCAGCCAATCAAGTGCCACGATTTCAGTAGCTTATAACACTTATTGTAACTTGTTATTGATAACAAGTTTCATAATTCAGAGGCCAGGAAAAGACATCATCAGTCATTCCAAAATGGTATTGGTGATGGTTTCATCTGAATGGCTGCAACTAAATCCTGGACTGCCTACCGAGTACAGATTTCCATGTATACTGGTGGCAGTTCCATTTGTGGGATATGCATTAAATAAGAGAGTTGGCCAGCTTACGATCTTGATAGTGCGACAGCTGAGATAGGATGGTCAGTCTGGTAGTTGGCAGAATCAATAATCAGAATTCATAATTTTGTTGTACACGAATATGCTGCTGTAAAAGAAATAAAAGGTGTACAAATCTGGTCTATTTTCTGTCTCAAACAATGAATCAATACCTGGTTGTAATTACAATTATGCACATTTTAATGATAAGTTTTCTCCAAACTTCTTCCTCTTCCAGTGGGAAACTCATAAGAAATTTCTCTCTCTGCAGATATTTTACAAGGACATTTATACCCATAATTAAGGTGGCGCAAGACAACATTTCTCAAGTCAACATGACAAATCAAAACTTCTTGGCGATAATATTATGTGAATTGGAAACCAAAAATATCTTACTGATAATACAGTGGCCTTTGTTATAAAAACGCTGCTGTGACGATCTTGTGTTATAAAATGGTAATTTTGCCAGTCCCACTTCTTCAATTGGTTTTACTTTGCCCTGATAATACAAGGTTTTGATATAACAAAGTAAATTCCTTAGTTCTCAGGAGTTTGTTATAATCCGGTGCCACTGTACTATAAGCTATGAATTGTAAAAATGATAGAAGTACTAGTAGTGATAAGTGATGGCAAATCTACATTATTGTGCTACCAAAGAAGGCTAGGGTTATATAACCCTCAACCTCTTGATCGAAAGTCAAGAACATGAATTAATGTACACCTCTACCAAGCATTTCCAGAAAATTCCTCTAATAAACTTCTCATTCCAACAACCCATTTCGGCATCAAAATGCCTTTATATGGTTAAAATGGTTTCACAGTACTCAGACCCAATCCTGCATGATAATAGATTTGAAGATGAACCACTCTACCAGATAGCCCACAATAATGATGTTAAGCAACCATTCAGAAGCCCTCTCTCTGATCATTTACATGACATGACCCAGGCCAGTTGATAAGATAGGCTTTTCCGCTTCATACTTTCACTATGGTTCACTCTAGGGTTCCTTGAAGTCAAGGATACTTTGTCTTCTTCATTTTCTTAGTCCTTGTTCTATTCATTTGCTATCTCTCTCTCCCTCTCCCTCTCTCTCTTTGTCTGTCTGTCTCTTTTCTCTCTCTCTCTCTCTCTCTCTCTCTCTTTCTTTTCATTGCTTGCAGCATCTTGAATGTTATCTGTACTTGCTATCAGTGTTATCTTTGTCTGTAACAATCTCTTTTCATACTACAATTCACATTCAAGTTTTTTAGATCAACGTTTCTTCATTCTTTTCATTTTCTTAGTCCTTGTTCCATTTATTTGCTCTCCCTCCTTCTGTTCTTTATTCACAACATCTTTAACATTCTCCTCGCTTGCTACCTCCAGAGTCCTCTTTGTCCTTTGAGTAACATCACTTTCACTATCTTCAGAATCTTCAGAATCCATCTCCTGTGTGAAAGTGGAGCTGGAAGTTGAGCTGAAAGTGGAGCTGAAATCCACGGCACCCAGAGCATCCCGGGTGGCATCGTCATCATCGCAGCGATCAGCAAGGGCTTGGAAGTCTTCTTGGATGAAGGATTTAGAAGCTTTGGAACGGTGATACCTCTGTTTCGAAATAATCATCAAAATCATGCATTGTGACATACACAGAATCAACAAAATCGTGTTTTTTTGACAAACATACACAGTAGATTTAAAGTGGCAAGATTATTTTGAGCAGTTATATAATGAATGGAATTTCAAAATGTTAATTTCAGTCTTCACATTTCTTCACCCACCATTATGCCACTGGGCGAATAGTTGATCTTGAAATATATATGCAATCACTGAAATTATATACAAGAAGCCATTCAACTTATCAATCAATAATGAACTTGAACAACGTGTGATAATGTAAAAAAGCAATTGCATATGCAATCATCAGCATTGATGGTATAAACATGTAGTTTTACAAGACATCTCAGGGCGCGACAAACCCGCTTGCCCGACGTCCCGGGGCAACCAAATTGAGCCGTCGGGCAAGTTAATCAAATTATCACTTGCCCGATTCGGGCAAGTGATACTTTTACAGTAATTTCCTAGTGTCCAAGAACTCTACCATTCACCCGTCAACTTCTTACCCGTCGTCAAAATCCAGAAGCAAACTAGATGGAACTTCGACTGCGCGCAGTCGAAAATGATGCCTCCGTCATAGAGCAATTTTACAAACCAAAACAGAAGAAATTTTTCAAATTCAAGTTCAATTGTAATCCATTAACAGGTTTTCAGAATATTGTGATTACAAGCTATTTTTGCATACATAATGAGCCCATGACCTTTGACCTTATGAACCAAGAATCTACTCAGTTCATTGGCTCTGCAAGAAACATACATGACCTAAGTTGGCAGGAATCCATCAATCGGTTCTTGAGATAACGCGATCACGAGCTGTTTTTGCATACATAATGTGCCCTGTGATCTTTGAACTTTGACCTTGTGACCCCTACATCTAATCAGTTCATCGGCTCTGCAAGTAACATACATGACCTAAGTTTGGCAGCAATCCATCAATCGGTTCTTCAGATAACGCGATCACAAGCTCGTTTTGCATACATAATGAGCCCTGTGGCCTTTGACCTTTGACCTCGTGACCTCAAAATCTAATCAGTTTTTTGGCTTTGCAAGTAACATACATGACCTAAGTTTGGCAGCAATCCATCAATCGGTTCTTCAGATAATGCGATCACGAGCTCGTTTTGCATACATAATGAGCCCTGTGACCTTTGACCTTTGACCTCGTGACCCCAAAATCTAATCAGTTCATCGGCTCTACAAGATACATACATGACCAAAGTTTGGCAGGAATCCATCAACCAGTTCTTCAGATAACGCGATCACGAGCTCGTTTTGCATACATAATGAGCCCTGTGACCTTTGACCTTTGACCTCGTAACCCCAAAATCTAATCAGTTCATCGGCTCTACAAGATACATACATGACCAAAGTTTGGCAGGAATCCATCAACCAGTTCTTCAGATAACGCGATCACGAGAACGGGACGTACGTACGTACAGACGTACGTACGTACGTACGTACGTACGGACGTACGGACGGACGGACAACCCGAAAACATAATGCCTCCGGCTACTTCGTAACGGAGGCATAAAAAGCGATCGTTCCGATTTCGAAAAAACTTCACAGACAGCTAGCCAGCTCAGCTAGCTCAGCGCGCATGCAACAGTGACACTTCAAGCCATGAATGCCGCTCCGCCTCCACGCACGGCCGGCCGTGAGCTAGCTAGAGACAGCTAGCGCGATCGTACCAGCTGCGAGCTTATTCGCGCTCTCTCTCTCTAGCTCTGCAGGCCGCACCGACAGGCCTTTGCTATTCTCTGATTGCCGATTGGTTGAATCACGCCAAATATGACGTCATTATTCTAGGGAAATGAACACGTGCGAATCGGAATGGAATAAACAACAGGGATTTTCTAGTAAGTACAAAAAGTCAAATGTTTGATATTTATTCATAATGACTGTTAATGATTGTGAACATATTATTTAAAACTCGCTGCTCATATAAATCAGATGAATGTTTTTGTCTCGTTTTCAATTTATTACTGCGGTCTCAAGATCCGACCGAGCGAGTCATTTTGATAATAGTATCGAGACCCCCAGAATATAAGCCGTTGTTGTTTTGTTTTCATGGTTTTAGCGACGTTGTTTAGTCTAGTTTTCGCATACTTATCCGAGATTTATCGTAAAATATCTTCAATATTATTATTTAGTAAGAATTTACAAATTTTGGCATGATATTTATAGCAGTGAATGATGAAATAAAAATGTCCGTACTTTATTTAAAATAGTTGATTACCCATTATTTACATGACGTTTCTTGATGGAAGAGTTGACCCAAATTATTAACAGCTGAAAATTAGCCTACGTTTCCAAATGACAGCGGCTTGCACAGACACACACGTGCGTTGATCAGCTGTTTTTTCTCGATTGTGCTAGTAAACAAAAAGTTTTGGGCAAGTGGAAATATTGTTTGGGCAAGTAAATTGAAAACCCACTTGCCCGACAGGGCAAGTGGTGAAAAAAATTCTTGTAGCACCCTGCATCTTCATTGTCAAAAAACCTTGGAAACAATTTGGATATCATCTCATGATCACAGATCTGTATTTCATCCAACACCAAGTACAGGGCCCTGTTTCATAAAACTTGTTAGCAATAAAGAGTTAGAATAACTGTTATAAGCTACTGAAATCATGGCATTTGAGTGGGTGTGAGCAAATCTGTCACGGGCCCTGATGTTGACTTCTGAGAATATGTAACTGATATCAACAAACGTGCTTTCTATCATTCAGCCTTGCCATGATATTATTCCCAATCATTACATGACAAGGGGGGCGTTTCACAAAGATCCTATTAGTCGAACTTATCTTTAAGTTGGACTTAACAATTCTGTAAAGCCGTTAGCATCTATGAAAATATTTTGCAAAAGTAATATTTTAAGGCATAAAATGTTGATTTAAATCAATCATATTTTCTATCATCAAGGAGATTTCATGTTCTTGATGTGGAATTTATAAAAAGTCTAAAATACTTGAATTTTTGCTTTTGAATATATTTTATTTTAAAGCTACAAATGGCTCTCCATAATCTTCAAGTCCAACTTAGAGTTAAGGTCGACTTGGGATCTTTGTGAAACACCCCCAAGGTATCATTACAAAAAAAACCTACCAATGTTTTGAGAGCCTTTTTGCTAATGACTGGATGCTTCGGAGGTAAAGGAGGATTGAACTTCATGGCATCTGAGCTGTATGTCTTCAATATATCCTTTGGATCCCTGCAGGCAGACATAAAAATAAGAATTCAAATTGGTTTTGAATATTGTAATGCATCTCACTATAACCAATAATAACAATATTTCTAAAGGGCAACATATCCATCTCTAGAGATGCTCAAGGCATTATTAAGTCCTTCCCAGTAGCTCACAGATGCAATAAAGGTTTTCACAAATGACCACCTCATAACCTTTCTCTCTATGCAATACAGAACATGCCTGACATAGCAATGATTATCGTATTTGGAATGTATGTAAGGTAATATTGTAGCAAAACCTTTGATGATGTGATGATATAATGCATGGTGACTGTGATGTCATAAGAGAAACAAGGTGATTAAGGAATATTTCCAAGGTGGCAAGGATGCAGGTTCCAGAAAAATTGGGAGGAAATTGTTAAAAATAGTGTGTGATATATTGCTTCCGTCACCACCTTTGTCAGGCGTTGATGATTTGTTGATGGATAGATAGACATCAGCAGATATAACAATATAAATTTGCATGTTATTGGTCTTTTAAAATGAATGATAAATAAGGCTCATTCAACAATTTGTATAAACATACAAGGGATAAATTATACTCTCTAAATTATGAATTGTATTTTAGAAGAAATTTTAGTTAGATTTCCTTCATAAGAAGCATGAAGTTGGTAAACAGATATTACAAGATATCCTCAAGCTGGCCCAGCAATGAAGCTAAGAACATCTAGTAAAGTGGCCGAATTAGCATGAAAACAAAATAATGCTTAGGAGACAAGCCATATCTCTGAAGAGATGATTGGTACAAATTGCAATCATCAGAGTAAATCGCAAAAATGAACAGGAAGCTGTAATCAGAAAATTAAAGTTGAAGCTAAAGGAACAAAGTGGAAGTTTCCATTAAACGGCTGACATTACATCTCATTTCTGGCAGTCAAGCACAGCCTGTTATCTATTTCAAGAGCTTTGTTCCTTTAGTAATTCCTTAATGAAGCCTATGTGAATTAATAGACCATTTTGTAGTAAGCACATGGGTCAAATAACCCCAAATATCCACAGATCTTTTACTCATGGAGAAGTCCCAATCAATGCCAAAGTCATGTATGTGCTTCATAAAAAGCCCTCTTGTATAATGGAATGTACCGTAGGTGCATACATAAATAATGATTGCATAACATGAGCACATATTCATCTCAGTGGGTTTTACAATTTTAACAAAAATTAACTTTATCTGCCCACGCGCAGATAGTATTTACGAAATGGCTTATTGACTTACATTCTGAGGAGTTGAACAGCAGGTACACCTTCTCCCTTCAGTGGGCATCCAAGGGCGACATACTTAGCATAGTGCTTCACGGTAGGGTGATAGTGATCCTGTAGAAGCCAAAGACAAATGATTATTAAACTTGATCGGGTTACACACATATTAGCATGATACTACGATCGTATACACCTTCTCACTTCAATGGGCAGCCAAGGGATACATACTTAGCATAGTGCTTCACGGTAGGGTGATAGTGATCCTGTAGAAGACAAAGGCAAACAAATATTACTTAAATTGACCCAGTAACATTGTTGAAGGTTGATGGAAAAATTGTGTAATTTTTGTATGAAATGTTAATTATTATATTCCTTCTACCGTACTACTCCTCTAACATGCGAAAAATCCTGAAAAAAATTCTCAAACCACAAAAATGTTTATGGTTTTCTTTGAAGGCGTCACTGTGCAACACCCTCTAACAGCAAATTCTCCAAACTGTTTTTTTCTCATGAAAATAACACATAAAACAGGCTTTTAAATATCTTTCAACACTTAAATGTCTGGAATGGTATGATAAAGCCAATTCATTGCTTTGTGAGGATTTACATTCACCTAAAATTAAATTAAATTATAATAATATAGTTGGGAGAATTCAGAAATCGATCAGATCAGTTTTTCCTAATTTGTATTATTAATAATGGTCCGTTTTCACCAAAACTTTCAGATTATCTTTAATTGTACATCTAGCATTGAAGTCACTACCTTAGCACCATTTTCTCTTATCTGAACAATGTTACCAAGTCCCTTTAATAGGATTACATACATATTAGCATAATACTACAATAATATTACATCATCACAAGTGCAAATGACATGGGGGCAAGCAGATATGTCACTCGGGCTTGCATCTGGAATAATCTTTGTGAATCATGTTACATACTGAGAAAAATAGAAGAAGTGGACTAGAAAGAGATAGATACAGAGAGAAAGAGAGAGAGAGAGAGAGAGAGAGGGGGGAGGAGAGAGAGGGGAGAGAGAGTGGGAGAGATAGAGAGAGGGAGGGAGAGAAAGAAAATGTTGGAAAGCGAATCATGGTTCCTTTTTCTTTAAAGGGAAAGTCCACCCCAAAAATAATTTTGTTTCGATAGAGGCAGAATAATAAGAAAATCAGGTGAGTGAAAGTTTGAGCAAATTCTGAATGAAAATAAGAAAGTTATGAATTATTGAAGTTGTGATCAATCAAATACAAATTGGCAACTCTGTGACTTATTATACGAGCTCTCCTTCATTTGCTTTGTGCATAATATTCCATAAAATCATGTTTTCTTCGTTATTGATGACGGAATATATATTTGTTCCTTGCAGGGGGAGTATAGAAACATATTTGCAATTATTATATTTAGGGTGCATGTATGGTTGAAATTTTTCTTGAGGGAAAATTAAAATTTTAGATTTTTTTAGTACTGAGCAAATGGAAGTTGAGCTCGCATGAGACGTCATAGAGTTGCCAATTTGTGTTTGATTGATCACAACTTCAAAAATCCTAACTTCCTTATTTTTAATCGGAATTTGCTCAAACTTTCACTGACTTGTTTCTCTCATTTTTCTACTCCTATTAAAACTAACTTAATTTCAGGGTGGACTTTCCCTTTAAACTAATCAACATTACCATTCGATTTGACAGTCCTTGATTTTACCTTTCATATAACTGTGTGTACATGCATGTCCTTTCCTAGTTTTTCGGGTATGTACAAATTGATCCAGTACATGTTTAAAGTCATTCTACTGCTTATCTCTTGCTAAACCTCTATCAAACGTGACATGAAATCAAGCATAGCATTGTCAAGCACACTATTTTTTGTTAAAGAAAAATTAAAATTCCACAATGTCTATATTAATCTTCATGTCAAATATATACAATAAACTAAACAAATTTAAGTTGAAACTCACCTGCATGAGTGTAAGCTCCCATAAGGCTGTGTTCTGAGCGTGGCTATGTTCAGGATCTACAATTTCAGGCATGAATATCCCGCTTCCTGTACTCTCATTGTCCAGAAGGACATCTGTTTTGGTGTACCACTAAAATACAGCAAATATGAAAAAAGATAATTTTGATAAGAGGGGAACAAAGCGAGACTTTATTTAACGAAATATTAACAAAAGCTGTTTAGAGTACTCATATATGGCTGTGCAGCATAAAGAAGTACCTCAGTATCTACCACTACAATGACTACCGTACTTCTATGACACTTCTCAACACCATCACAACTGCTAACGGTACTCTAATCAATACCATCTCAATTAATACCTGTAGAAGGAATGTTCAACCTGCTTTAATGAATGTCTTCAGAGCACTCATGTATGCCAGGGCAACATTAAGAAATTCCATAGTTGCTTGAGTCATTGGTCAGCTACTATTACTCTTTATCCTACAGTTACAACAACTGTTACTCCTCCTATGACAGTTATCACCACCACTGCAAACTGTTTCAATTGCCACCATCACTACCATTAGGCTGCCGGAGCTAAAGCTAGGGTAATAATTTACAAAGCTCTTTGGAAGCGAATAGAGGCTCGATAGTGTGATATGCGCTATACAAGAACCGAATTAGTGGTGAAGTCAAACGTTTTACCATCCGGTATCCGACCGTCCATGGCTCTACCCATTTTCAATTGGACCGTTTCGTTTTCCCGTTTTTTTGTTGTTTTTTTTAATAATTTTTTTTAAATAATTTTTTTTCATACTTAGGAAAATCAAAACAAATCACATCAACAAATAATAATATTAATAATAATAACAATAATAATAACATTAAACCGAATATTATTAGAAAGAATGTGGCACCTACCTTCATGAATGTCTTGAGGGCACCCATATAAGCCAGTGCTGCATTGGGGAGTGCAAGGGTTGATAGGGTAGCCATTCTCTTGAGGAAGCCCATTACTCTATGGACAGAGATCTGCTTGCGTCTTCTGCTGATCATCACTTCCAGGCAATCACTGACCAGTTTAGCATCGTAACTACTCATACCTGCGGGAGACAGAGTGAACAAGAGATGGAAACTTGTGGGAATTGTACTGATTTAAATTGATGAAGTTTATTTACAGAAAAGAACTTCATCAACCACAACAAAAATAATGGGCATTTGTTCCAAATTGTGCTTCTCTATTATAGTTATAGCCTCAAAATGTGTTTGGTTTGAAAAATGACTTCTCCTGTCTGTAAGTAAAGTGTGAAGTAAAGGGTGTCATTTGTTCCTTGAATTTTCTTCCCTACTTTTTTTCCAAACCCAACAATGCTCCTCCAGAACTGTGTTACTTTTTATCTTCTATCTTCTAAAACACCTTTTCATCATGCTTTTTTCTCTCTCTAGTCCACCTCTTCCTCAAACAATATTGATGCCGAGACCAAAAACCTTTGTGTCAGACACCTTTAACAGACTATTTGGATAAATAATCTGCCTCTTGAACTGATAATGCAAAATTAAGCTCTTCTTCGTCAGGCAAGAAATTACCGGTAGAAACCTTGCCAAAACCGCTTGTGCGATTGCTTTCATAAGACCCTCTGAAAAGAAATCTTTCAAGCCCATCTGTACTAGTGTACAGGAGGAATTAGACCACCCTGTAAGGTCACACGACAGGTGATTATCTCATCAAATCAGCTCTCAATTAACATAAGAAGAAGAGAATCATGGGGGACCAATGGTCACCGATTAGGCATTGTTTGCTATACAGAGGGCGCAAGTACCTATAAGTAGTGCAGTGGGGCTTTAAACTGACCTTGCTAATGCTTTGTTGAAAAGGTTCCTCTCAATTAACATAAGAAAAAGGGGATCATGGGGGACCAATGGTCACTGATTAGGCATTGTTTGCTATATAGAGGGCGCAAGTAGCTATAAGTAGTGCAGCGGGGCTTGAATACATACCGGCATGGACTAGAGGTAGTGTGACGTAGAGATGAGAATAGAAGTGGCTTGGATCAATGTTGAGGACATCTCCCTGGCCTGAGAGGATATGGAATGCTGTCAGTGTACAGTGGAGAGACTCTCTGTACTTCAGATCCTGGTAGAATTGAATTAATTAAAAAAAAAAAATGTAAATAACATGGAAAATCATTAAGTAGCATTGCTACAGAAACAGAGTTTTTAATGTTAGAGATTGCAAGCTTAATCTATACAAAAATGGAAGGAAGAAAACGAAAAAAAAATAGATAAAACACTATGAAACTAGTAAAGTTTATTTGATTTAAAAAGTGAACAAATGTAACAGCTATAAATTATGAATTCTATTTTGAATTTAAAATAAATGCATATTCCTGTCACAAAGAAGAAGAAAATCTTTTTTTAAACATAATTTTGAAACTATGTGCAAGATTTACAGTAATCGATTGCTTCATGGCTTAGATAATAAGGATGGGGGAATCTTATTCTAGTATACACAACAGAGGATATCTTTCTCAGATGAAGGAGAAAGACGACAAATGACAGAGTTTCATCTTACCCCTTTCGCCACAAGACTATGCAGAACTTGAATAAGGTCATCAAAGAACTCCACGTTGATGAGATGTGCAAACTTTGCAAGACCTTCCAGCACTGAGGGCAGCATTATAGAATGGCTTGCTCTCTTCAGGATACGAAAGTAGGTGGCAAAGACTAGCTGGACGATCTCGGTGTGCTGATGAAAGTAGTGAAGAAAGAGTAATGGTTGGTTGAAAGAATATTCATAATTTTTTTAAACTATTGCAAATTCAATATATTCTTAATCAGATCTCTTCTTATCGTACAACATGGGAATGCCATTTTTAATAAACTAATGTTCATTTCTAATGTTAACATGAGAAATGTAAGTATATGTTTGGGAATCAACATTCAAAATGTAAGGGGGGATGATTACCTGTAAACTTAATTTAAAAATGTGGTAGAAATTTAAAAAACACTGCCAGGACATCTTTCCCAAAGAAAAATGATAACAGGATGCTAAAATGTGACAACTTTGGATTGTTACTTTTATAGTGGCATTAAACATTCTGATTAATTTTTATTTCACTTAATTTCAGATTGGACTAACGCTTAGTAATTTACTCTTGCAATTGAGAGATTAGAAGGGCATGACAAAACAAATCACATAGGTTTGGAGATATTTCTCTTTCGACAAAGCTTACCAATTTGAGTTTCTTGTTCTTGCTCTCAGATGCCTCAGTCGCCTGCAGCTCCTTCTCAAGAATCTCCAACTTCTTATGATACTACAGAGAATAATTGTACAAAATAGACAATGTTGGATCTCATGGTACTGTAGAAGGTAGTTAACTCTATTCAAAGTATTTCATACTCTAATTTGGATGAAAAAATGAACATGGGACTATTTGTCGAACAGTTAAGTCACTGAGTCTTACCTGTACAAATATGAAACAAAACTATAACAACAATTTTTCAATTCTATGTTAATTCCAGTAATCAGAACCCAAATAGTAGGTTGATCTTGATGTGGGATGATTCAATCACCAGAAATGAACAAAAATCCACACATAGAGGATTAACCGTAAATGTAACCTAGAAATTAATATTTTTTTACTCCACAAAAACTCAACAGCATTCTCCTGTAGAACATTGTTGAAGGTATGGGCATTTGTAGAATTCAAAATTCGCTCAAATTTTCTAATTTCATCAATATTTCTCTACTTGATCTCACTGGATTATCTCTTTCATTGTTGTTATTTCTCTACTTGATCTAACTGGATGATCTCTTTCAATGTTGTTATTTCTCTACTTGATGATTGATCCCATTGGATTTTCTCTTTCATTGTTGTAACATCTCTACTTGATCTCACTGGATTATCTTTTTCAATGTTGTTATTTCTCTACTTGATGATTGATCCCATTGGATTTTCTCTTTCATTGTTGTAACATCTCTACTTGATCTCACTGGATTATCTTTTTCAATGTTGTTATTTCTCTACTTGATCTCACTGGATTATCTCTTTCAATGTTGTTACATCTTCCATCTTCATCCACACCAAGAACTCTGATTCTGAAGTATTCCACTTACCCGTTTCTGATTGCGTGAATAGCGTGTGAACCTCTCTTTCCTTTCCTGTAGCATCTTCTTCCTGTTCTCTTCCGCTGTATGACCTGTCTTGACCTCTTTGATCCTCAGAGATAAGAAAGTGTTCAGGACCTGGCGACAAATAGAATAACAAATTCAATTTCAGATTGAAAACAAAATGAAATATTCACCAAGATTAAGTGAACTTCATTGATTTTCAATCTTTTGTTACGTTTGGTCAATGGACACACACAATGTGTGTGTAATGCATACAGGTAAATGAGCCTTTGGCAAATGAAAAGATTAGATCTGGTTCATACCTCAGGGGAAACTTGGTATCCATTGTTTCTGGCGATACGACTAATGAAACGAACGGCTTCTAGGGAGGCATCTCCGGTTGCGTCTCTTCTAAACAGCTGTTTCATGCTCTGGCAACACGTGCTAGCAATCTGCAGCAAAAACAAGAAACAAAGTGTTGGGTTTAAAATGAATATTTGTAGAACTTGATAGTGCCTAGGTCAAATTTGCTCTACGGCTAGGATACGGCGGCCATAGGCCCCCGAAATCGAGAGATACCTGCGGCAGATGTGGCCTCAGGGTCATTCTAGGGTGTATCCCTATCTTTACAGACGGTATGGGTCGCTGAGGGATTATAACGTGGAGTTATAACTTTTTTTAATTTCTGGGTTTAGACACACCGTAGCCATCCCGTAGGGTGGTTCCATTTCAACCAGGTGTACGGTGGTATTGCGGCAGCCGCAGGTTTTCTGTTGCCACAAATTTAAAATACACCATGCAGCTACCCTAACATATGTGACTGTGGGAATGCTGCGGGGGTCTTAAATTGCTATTGGCCGTAGATATTTTAGACCCCGCGGCCGTAAATGTGACCTAGGCATTAATGAGATGTTCAATAGCTTTTGACTGGCATTTAGACTTAGTAAGAAATCAACATCAAGTACATACATATAGCTTAACTTTGTAAAGAAAATTCATATTTCATGACACTGCTTTAAAGCAGCCGCAAATATGGGAGAGATGAATTTTACACTTTGTCAAACACATAGCAGTAAACAATATGCATTAATATCTTGGCACTGCAAATGTACCAGGCAACATGTGGGAAGCTATATAAACATTCCAAGCAAATGATATCATCACTTAAGCCTTGGGAGAAGAGTTTATAGAATACTTCTTGGCTGCAAAGTGACATGAGAATTGTTATGCAAAAGAAGATATGAAGAGACAATAGGGAGAATGATCTTTCATAAACTTTTTATCAACTGCCAGCACGACCACTATCTCCAGCTGATCATCCTCTCCTGCAGCTACATCACATACCTTCAGGGAAAAAAATATTTAAATTTTTTGGGGGGCTACTTTACAAGCTTGCTTGCATAAAAATAACACTCTTTAATCTGTTTTGCATTCAACTCAATGAAAATGTTACTCTTTTATGTCTTTTGGGTGGCTCTTTTTGGCATTTCGGGGGCTACTTCGCCCCAAGCCCCCAAGTTTTATCCCCCTGCATACCTTGTCATGCTTACTAGCCATCTTGTGAGACACAACAGAGATGATGTTGGTCCTGAAGTTGAAGTGAGGTAGAGCATTGAGCAGAGAACACAGACATCTGGTAGCCGTCTCAGCCAGACTGATCTTAGCTTGGTCCGGGAGAAGCAGTCTGGGCTTGTTCCTATGAGCCTCCTTCTCCTTGGCTTTCTTCAGCTCAGCCTTCGTCTTGTGGACATCTATCAATGTAGAGCATTTGTACTAAACTGTGAGTGGACAGAGTATTAGGTTTAGGGCCCTGTTGCATAAGACTTACCACTGATGGTAACTATGCCATCAATGTAAACTACCATGGCAACTTCATTCAACAGCCAATTAAATAAAGATTTCCGTGGAAGTTAGAATTAATAGCAAAGTTACCATCAATGCTAAGTTTTATGCAACACGCCTAGGGAAAAAAAATTGTTTACACCTGGGGCGGTATTCTGAACCCTGTGTTATCTCTAATATTGTTGTATCTTTGGAGATAAGATAAAGTTGGTATTCTGAACATTGTTGTAACTTTTGTTGTATCTTTTCTCTCGCGCCTGCGTTCAAACTTTGGTGCGCTTGCAATTGTGCTTATTAGTAATAAAATGGCGCTTAATCCTTATTTGCATATGCGCACGACAGATAATATGACAAGATAATTGGTATTCTGAAAATTGTTGTATCTTTTATCTTATCTTATCTTGCATGGTATTTACAACAATATTTACAACAGGTAGGGGGTTGTTGTATCTTTTGTGGTGATATAATGGCGGCAATATTTCTTGCCCAGAACCAACTTCGTGCCAATAGACGAGTTAGAAGAAGGTTGTGTGTTGACCGGAAGTATCACAGATGAGAACTTTCTAAGAAATTACATGCTAGGATATGACGATTTTAATGTTCACATCTTAACCAATATAGTGAAAGCGTGATTTGTCTTCATGATCAAAATGCCACAGCGCATTATGATGACGCGCGTAATAAGCGCTCAAATAACTAATTACGCCCAATATTAGAATGGGCCAGGCGCATCTTCAGATATATCATGCTTATATTAAAGAGATTTTGATTTGTAGGGTCCATACAAATGGGCGTGTCAACAGTGGTCAAAGATAAGATAGAAGCAGTCCTTCAAGAGATAACACAGGGATAAAATGATGTTCAGAATACCAACTTACAACAATATTAGTGCTGTGTTATCTCTGGAAGATACAACAAAAGATAACAGAAAAATTACAAAAATGTTCAGAATACCACCCCAGGTACAATTGAGTAAACTGGTTTTGCAGCAGTATTGGAAAATGGTTAGGGAGACCTTAAGAGATTAAAAATAAGAATTGGCATATCTTTCACCTTGACAGGGAGATTCAACTTACTCCCACCTTTTGGTTTGAATACCAAATGAATCACTGGCAAAGACCATGCATATGTTTGCCTGACAAAGCAAATATCAATTGATATACGAGGTAGTTCCCTCCAGAGAGATGCTACAATACATGAATTAGAAAGTCTGTTGACAGGGGGTGCTATTAAGCTGTAACTGTAAAATTAAGTGCAATCGATAAACTTTTCTATTCAATAATGGTTCACGGGCACAACAACACAGAAAGACTAAACAGAGAAATAAAATCAGATATCAGATGAGGACACGACAGTGTGTAGTTCCAATGTACAAAATAGAAGTTAACTATTTCAACATCAAAAATATTACCGTTGATAGTCTTTTCAAGGAACTCCAGATACAGCCTGTAGTTTGTGACCAAACCTTCTTCAAACTCTCTCTTCCCCTGTGCTTCCTTACTTAGCTGTAAAACAGAAGTATGTCAGGTGTGTTTAATAATATATCTCTACAACAAGAAGTTATTGTAATTAAATTCAGGTGCATGGATAAGGCCTAAACAAAAAAGATGTTGTATTGCCCTTTGCGACCAATCCAAAATCTTGAAATCTACGGTCTGCTTTTTAAAATAGTTTTTTTTGGTTACCGTTTTTTTGAGAAAAAATATTAGAGCATTAAAAACTGAGAAATATCAGCCCAAAGAAGGAGAGGAAAAAAAAAAACTCTGACCGACTGTCCCATGTTTTGGCACCTAAAGGGCAATACAACATCTTTCTTTTTTTAGGCCTAAAAGTATGGTATAGTGCTAAGCGCTTTGGTTAGTTACTTGTACTTCGAAAAATGCTATGAAACAAAGATATTTATAACTAGCATTAATATTCTTATCAATATTAAACTTTAAACAAAAACATGATTCAGTCTGTGTAACATTCTGGATAGACTTTGTTTTGACAATAAGCACTTTCATAATATCGCCAAAGAGTTTGGCTAATCAGTCTGGTTGTTTCATAACTGCCTTCTGAAGGTCGTAGACTGTCATTATCATTATAAGCATCACCTCCCCCACCATTATCATCATTATAATAAGCATCTTTACCATCAATACTAACATCATCATCACTACCGTCATTACCATTATCATCATCATCATCACCATCATCATCAACATCATTATCATCATCATTGTCACCACTACCATCACCATCATCATCACTAACATGAGCATCATCATCATCATCATCATCATCATCATCACCACCACCACCACCATCATCATCATCACTATCATGAGCATCATCATCATCATCATCAACATCATCAACATCATTATCATCATCAACATCATTATCATCATCATCATCACCACCACCACCACCACCACCACCACCACCACCACCACCACCACCACCATCATCATCATCATCATCATCACTATCATGAACATCATCACCACCATCATCATCACTATCATGAGCATCATCACCACCTCATCATCATCATCACTAACCTCATCATCATCATCATCGTCATCATCTTCATCATCATCATCATCATCATTATCATCATCACCACCATCACCACCACCATCACCACCACCATCACCACCACCATCACCACCACCATCACCACCATCATCACCACCATCGTCACCACCATCATGAGCATCGTCACCATTATCATTATTACCATCAATATCATCATCTACATCAGCATCACCATTATTCATCGTATTCATTAAAATGTTCACTATCAAATCCATCAATAAGCTCTGGATATGTACATACACACATGCATGTGCAGGACTAAATCAGGACTAAAGCATGACTGAGTGATTGAGAATAATACCTTAGGTTGAGATGATTTGGCCTTTTCTCCCCATTCTCTGATCCTGTATCCAGGAGCGATGTCTTTGAACACCTCACCGAGGGACACCATAGCCAGCTTCCTGGTAGTCACCATGATGCTTGGCTCTCTCTCCTCCAGAACGATCCGCAGATCCTTCAGTTTGTTTACCTAAAAGAAAAATGAAGATATACATTGGTAAAACCATTGCCCAAAGGTACCAGGCCTTTCATGTACTAAGCTTAAGAGAATAAGATAAGTGAGCCATTCACAGGTAAAAAAAAATGTGTATCTATTCACTTTTTACAATTAACTTTGCAGAAGACTAGACAATGCTTTTATTTAATAACAACATGTCCTCAAGTTTTACAAATTTAGATCAAGCTCACAAATACACGCTGTCAATTGTTCTGTTAGTATAAAGTTTAGTTTTTATCAAGGCTGCTTTTAAAAATACTGCCAAGGACAGTTTTTTTTCCCCACAGGTAGAAACTACAGTTGCAAGTGAATATCACCCCAAGCATGTTCTATGAGGTGTCTTTGGCTTTTAGTGAAGTCTCAATCAGTTGAGAGACTTAAGTTCTCTTGAAAAGAAACCTGTAAAGTCTGTTCATGACAGAGCTCACTCTGAGTAGCCTGATTATAACCTCCAAGCATACCATAGATTCACTCGAAACCTCACAGCCATGCAAACTTACATTTTTCTCAGGGTCTTCCACGATCGAGCTGGACAAGGTTGCAATACGCTGCCTCTTCTGGTTGAGCATCTCCTGCCGCTCTGCGAAGAGCTGAATGGTGCTCTTGGCAGGTAGCTTGGTCTTTTCTTCCTCTAAAAAGTATCGGTTGACATCACAAAATTCAAATTTTAATCAGTTCCTCTTATAAGAGGCAACACAAATGAAATGCTAAATTATGAATGCTATTAATTGTGTCCTATCTTATATTTTTTTTATTTGCAGTTTACATTTAAGGATGCATGAAGACGGAGAAAAGACCTTTGGTTGCCTTTTATGGAATATCATTTCCTTAATGTGAAGACTTTTAAAGAAAAGCCTTCTCTAATGCATAATTTTGTATTTGTGTAACTTGAAAATAATAAATATTTTGCCTTCAAATTTTCACAGACATTATAAACATTTTTCACAAGATTAAAAAAAAGAAAAGTATATGAATTCCCTTTCAAAAAAGCTTCTGGAATAAAATCAACAAACCTGGGCTGCACAAGGGAAATATTTAGTTATTCATGCAATCTCATTCTGTACCATTTAAAGCTTTTTATCTCTCACCCTGCTCCATCTCAATCTCCTCCTCTCCTTCCCCTCCCTCATCCACCTCCTCTTCCTCTTCTTCATCATCCTTGTTCTCTTTCTCCAGCCATCTATACTCCAGACCTCCTGGATGTTTGATGGGCAGAAGGGGCTTCATGTTCGCAGCTGTCTGACCTTGATTCTTCACCATCCGAGGCTGCTCCTCGTACGACGCAACCTTGTTGTCTTTCTCCTGTCTCTTTCCCTTGCGAGACTTCGAGGGATCTGGCACGCTGAGATACAAGGAATAATAAAACACATGGTGAAAGAAAACCTAAAATCACTGGCAAAATATTGGAACAGGCTATGATTAAAACAAGAACAAGATATGATTTGCAGGACAGTTGCAAAATCTAGATTTATCTTTATGGTGCCACCAAGTTAATTACAAACATGTATCACAAATTTAACATTTTCAGCTATAGTCATTTATTTCATTGTTCATCGTCATCAAAACATTTTTTTACAGCATATTCAAACTTAAGAATTTATGAACCCAAATCGAATTTAAAAAAAAGAGAGAAAAGTTTTAGTCCAGCAACAACACAGAGTCTACAATGGGGAGATTAATTGATTTAATTCCTATTAAATTTAAGACAGGGATGAGCTAATTTTCTAAATATGCTCAAGGTGAGGTACTTGGATTTTGTATGCACATGAAAAGTAGACTAGTGTTGAACAACACTTGGAAATATGGCCCAAGAAACAGCTACATGTAGGTGGATATTTATCAGGAATCATATCTATCAAATAAACAAAATTAAAAAATTGAAAAGAAATGTGGAACATTCCTAAAAACAAGCATTTACTGGTGGAAAAAAAAATTGAAATCAAAGTTGCTTTTTGTCATTATATTCTAATTTAATGTAAGATATTGTAAATACTTGCTCTTTTCGAAAAATAGAAAACTTGAATGCCCATAATGGACTTTCATTTTCAAGAAGTAATATGTTTGGAAGCTTACCTGTCTTCAAGATTTGAAAGGAAGGAAGATTTTCCTCCAACAGATTTAATGTATTCCATGTCTTCCTCTTCCATATCTTCCCCTACCAAATCTTCATCTTCGTCTTCTCCATCACTCCTTCTTTTCTCTTTCTCCTCCTCAATCTCCGATGGTTTAGACTGATAGTTGATTCTACATAATAAGATGACAGGAAAAATTTTGAGAGGGGTAATGAACAAATCTTGTAAGTGTAATCTCCCTTCTCCACCCCCCCCCCCCCCCCACCAAAAAAAAATGTCACATTTGAAATATATAAACAATATTACAAATACAATATGATTAGAGAAAATGAAAAACATTACTTTCCAAGAACATTACATGGCTTTATCTCATTTTAACCATGAACCTGATTATAAGCGTTGCTTATCATGATATTCTCATAAAAAGTCACATCCAAAATCAAAGACATTTGTTTCAGAAAATTAGGAAAAATGTTGTAAAAACAAATTCAATTGAAATATAACTATAAGGGACAACATCATCTATCAAAATCTATGTCTTATTCAAAACCTTTTTTGCAATGTGACTTTTCTTGTTTCCTAAGCCCAAATGTTTTAGGTGCAAGAGTAAACAGAAAGAGAAACTTCCAATTAAATATACATCATGTACAAATACGACTTAGTACAAGTCACTATGAGTATGACAGAGTGTGTGTAAACTTTTAAAATTGAAAGAAAATGACCATGACAGTGATAATGCTTATAGTAGGCTTAGCAGTTTAGACTTGGAATTAAATCCATGCATTCAGAAATTCTATCCAAATTTGCAGATCTTATTTATACTTTCTCAATATTAAAGCACTCACCTTTTATTTGTGAAATATCCTGCCTTTTGTGCAGCGGCGAAGGCAAACATGGCCTTCTTGGGTTTTCCATTCTTGGGTTTTTCATTCTTTGCGAATCCTCCTGGTTTATGAGTGCGAGATTCCTGTGAGGATCTGATCTGGGTACGGCGTTCCTTTAGACGTTTATTGGTTCCTATGTTGGCTCGCTTGATGCCACTTAGCTTCTTTCCCTTACCAGCATTAGACTTTTTCTGAAAGAAAATCATGATATAAAAAATAAGAAATTAACTCTAAAATGAAGTCAAGAAAACCACATTGAAATGATTGATCAGGTTGTTGAAGTTTGGAAAGCTGGATTCGTTTTAACTCCAGGGAGTTCCGCCGCAGAAGGCGTTGGAGCTCCAGAGCCTGCATAGCCATAGGAAAATGATTCAAACAGCAGGTTAGGTCACATTAAAAAAAATGTAGATATTGTAGACTCTTATTACAATTTTGAATTAGCCTACAAAACAATGTTTTTTTACTCCTCTGCTCTAGCTCTGGGCATCCATTCAGAATGGGACTTCAATGGGAAAAACAAAAAAGGTGATTCCTTGTCCTATTCTAATTCATCCCATGTTGTACTTGTAGATATCGCCGATTCAACATGGCGAAGAGAAAGTACGCATGCACGGTAGCGGCTGTGCATGCATACTCTCTCTTTGCCATGTTGAATCGACGACATAACAAGGCATTAGGCCTACTACTACTATGACAATTTGGTTACGGTTTGGCCAAGCCCAAGGCCAAGGAATCACCCTTTTCCCATTGAAGACTTCTTAAAATTATCAAAATCATATAATTACTACTTCTTAACATTTCGAAAAAATGTGCAACCCGCTGTTTGAATCCTCTTCAGGTCTGGAGTTAACTCCAGGGAGCTCCGACCCCGATGAGAGTCTCGTTCTAAGATTCTCCAAAGCTCCTAACCGGTCGGATTATACACATTTACTTTATTTGGACTCCAGGAATCTCCAAAACAGTGGAGGGATCAACTAAGAAGAAGAAGAAGATGCTTCGGCGTCGGAGCTCCCTGGACTGGAGGAGTTGCCTGCATCTCACCCCATGATCTGGAGTTATAATTGAGTTCGCATTCGACTCTGTTTCTATTGCACATTCTCATGCCAAAATTATCCCGTTCTATTTAATCATCTACTGTTGTTTTCCATAATTACCGCCACTCTCAAATTTCAAACAAAAACTGTTCATTCACTATAAGAATGCACACAGGTACAATTTTTGAACACGTGCAAAAATTCTTACCATGGGTCTCGCCATTTTGAAAACGTCCTCTGTTGACGATTTACCGTATAAGACTCGACGCGAGCTAGGCGGAGAAGGAGGATGCACGGCAATTAAGTTTTAAGAAAAATGGTATGGCATTGATCAGTACTGTGATATTAGATATTTTAACATTCTATCATATCTATAGTAGCTTTGTGTCACATATTTGGCATGAATTGATTTTAAACTAATTTTATAATAGGGTCTAATTCATTTCTAAACTTCTGTTTCCATGGACGCTATCGCGTCAACTTGCTGAGTGCACTGCAAACCGATCGGACGCTGCCTGTCTCTCCCGGGACAGATAGGGCTCTTGCTAAGTACAGATACCGGCGCGGCGATTCCTTCTAATTCTATGACTCGGCGCGGCGACAGCGACAGCCTGCAGCCAGGCCAGGCCACCCCACCCAATTCCAATCTTCTCGATCTTATTTTTCTTCTTCCTTTATAGACCCCCTAATGTGATGGCAATTGGTACGGACGGTATGCAGTTGTATTGTACTTGAACTTCTTGTGCAGCGGTTTGCCCTGAAACCTGTGATTATAGACCCTAAATGTCTTTGTTTTTAAGAAAAATACGCAAAAAAGATAAGAAAATTGACATGACAGAGTAAGAAAAAGAACGCCTTTAATTTATATCATAACAATTATTTGAACAATTGATGAAGATTAAGTTGATTTTTTTTGTGTGTTTTAGTAGGTCTAGGCCAAACTTTCTTTCTATCTTTCGTCATGTTATTCTTTGTTTTCATTCTATGAGTATTACAACTAGATCTAGGCCTATCATTTTCTTATGTTATTCTTTGTTTTTCCACCTTTTATCTTCTCTTCCGTCCATCTTTCTTTATTGTTTCTATTATTCTATTTTCTCTTTCTAGATCTATATCTTTCTTTAGTTATACTTTGTTTCTTCTTTCTATCACCTTTTCTTATACCTTGAATACCAAAGCTTCTGGAATAAAGCCGTCTCCAGCTGCCAAGCTTCCAGGTCTAACTTCAAGGAGGGGGGGGGGGGGGGGGGGGGGGGGGGGGATGTCCCAGCTTCCGGGTCTTGCACCGTAGTCATTTTTTTTTTTACATCTGTATCTTGTTTGCTGGGTCATATCAGGAATGTCATAATTGCAAAATACAAAATTATTTATCCGTTTGTCTGTTATCCATGTTTCAGGGCCTGCTAGGATTCTTCAGACGACTGAGGAAGGCATCCCGCAAGCAGAGCATACGTGTCCTCCTTCTTGGTCTGGATAATGCTGGCAAGACGACCATCGCCATGAGCCTCTGCCAGGAAGAGATCACTGACGTCAACGCCACTCTGGGCTTCAACATCAAGAAAATGAAGGCAAATGGGGTGGAACTTAATTTGTGGGATATTGGAGGTTAGTAAATATTGATCTTTGATTTTTCCTTTCTTTTGCCTAAGTTCTTTGTAGAAGGACTCAGCACTATACAGGGGTCCTGTGTGCACATGGACCTCAAGTCTTAACTCTTAATCCCCCAAATCTAGAAATAAATACAAATGGAGGGCAAAGGAGGAGGAGGAGGAGGGGGGGGGCAATGGTTACCAAGCATTGTAGATCTAGACCCCTTGTAAAGGAAAATAGTATGGAGTTATGTTTTAAAAGAAATTTTGCTTTAATCCTATTATTTGATCTGTACATGAAGTAGGGACAGATATCCCTCCTGTCGTATTCCCAGACAAGTGCTGTTAATTTGAGTATTTCGGATTTTTTCAGGTCAAAGACGGCTCCGCCAGTATTGGGAGAACTACTTTGATAACACTGATGTCTTGCTATATGTGATCGATAGTTCAGATACTAAAAGATTGGAAGAAACGGGCGAGGTAAGGAGGCCTATCTTCTTTGTCTTTCTTGTGATTACATGCCTTTGCAGTTTAAGTTCTGAACATTTCTCTCTTGATTTTGGTTATCCAAGTATCAGTTGTACTGTGCCAGGGCAGTCGTTGTACAGTATAGATTGTAGGAAGCCAGAAGATGTTGTATTCATGTGCTGGTTTTGCAATAATTCCATCTAGAAAATAAAAGAAGGGTGAATCCCAATCCCATGGATAGGCCTGTATACAGAAAATCTCATTCATGTCACAAAGATTTCATGGAAAAGATAAGGTGAAGTAAGAAAGCAGTAAGGTTAATCTAAATGAGGAGGATGCTCAACCCAAGAAGTGGAGGGAAGAAGTGTCATCATGGCACAAAAGTCAGTAACCCCACGTAAGAGCGAAAATGCATGATGCATGATGATAATAATGATGATGTTGATGATGATGATGATGATGATGATGATGATGATGATGATGACGACGACGACGACGACGACGACGGCGACGACGACGACGACAACGATGATGATGATGATGATGGTGGTGGTGGTGGTGGTGGTGGTGGTGGTGGGGATGATGAGCTGACGATGATGACGATGATGTTCCTAAATCATTCTTCATCCTCAAGGAGCTGGCCCACCTTCTGGAAGAGGAGAAGCTGGGCGGAGTGCCGCTGCTGGTGTTGGCAAACAAACAGGACCTGGTGGGCGCGGCCCCTCCTGATGAGATCGCAGAGGGGCTCAACCTACACACTATCAGGGATAGGGTGTGGCAGATCCAAGCATGCTCGGCCATCACCAAGGAGGGCATTGAGGTGGGTGTAGGGGGTCGTAAAGGCCTATTCACATACATCACAGTAGATCCCTGCATTTTTGCTTTAAAGCCACACTGCACTACTTGTAGCTACTTGCACCCTCTATATAACAAACAATGCCTAATCAGTGACCATTGGTCCCCCATGATCCTCTTTTTCTTATGCTATTTGAGAGCTGAGTTGATGAGATAACCACCTGTCCGGTGACCTTGCAGTGTGGTATAATCCCTCCTTTTCACTAGTACAGCTGGCCTTTAACATGCACATTCTCTTTCATCTTTGCCAGACAGAACCCAGCCTTCTCTTTTAATTTGTCAAACTGGTCAATATAAATCTGAAGTCATCTCATTAGCTCCATTTCAGTTGTTTAAAGACAAAAGACAAATCATATCTGCTCTGAGCCAGAGGGGTGTTATCTCTGTGTTAAAGCATGCACATCAAGATCCATGATCATGCTTTAGGAAACTTGTTTCTTAAATAATGACATAAACTTGAAATAATTTGGTAGTGAAAAACATTGTCAGGTAGTGTAGCACACAAGGAGATGATAATATGCCCCCCTCCCCAAACAGGGAAGAATCTAAACAGTCCCTTTTGACTGTTTTTCATATCTTTATATTTAGTATTTGTCTCATATTCATAATTTACTCTGCTTATTCTACTTTCTCTACTTTCTCTGAATGTCTGAACACCATACTACCATGACCACTCTCTTTTCATTTCTCTACCTCTCTTTTACTCCTCTCCTTCTCCTCTTCCGGATCGGGAACGATGTACAGAAAGGAATGGACTGGCTGGTGAAAGTAGTCAAGAAGTGATCACAGGATGATCATGACTACTCAAGATAACATCAGTGAAGCATTCAGGTATTTTCAGAGTATTTTACAGAGGTGCTCAAATCAGCTATGTATAAATAAAGGACATATATATATATATGGCTGCATGAAAAATTGTATGAAATTGAAGCTACATGTACATGAACATGTGATAGAAAAAGTATACCATACTTTTATCACAATTTTCCTTTAAATTATTAATTTTTAAATGTTATTGATGTGTGCTGAGTAATGAAGTGCTATTTCACTCAGAAAACTGACAGCCTTCCAGTAATATGATCAACTGGTCCATGAACAATTGTCTTTATTGAGCAGCTGAAATATTGTGTGTTTTTTCTTTTGCATAAACAAAGATTATAAATCAATGAATTATTACCGTTTCAATCTAGTTATTCTTAAATATAAATTTGTAACCTTCCATACAAACTGGATTGTTTTTTGGTTAACCTTCAACTTTTCCACTTTAGAGAATGTTGTCTGAAGTATTTTTATGAACATACTTGTGTATTTATTATTTATTCACAACCATTAAAGTAAAACTCTAATAAAGAAAGTAAAGAAATCTGGAGTCAATTGTGGAAATGATGTTTGGTGTTATAAGTAGCTTTATATGTATGAGACCCAAAATGCATGCTTTATGGGGGATGTATTTAAACTATCAGTTTCTTTAAAAAAAATCGGGGTTTATGTAATCATGAAGAATACACTGATTTCCCCATTTCTCAGTGGGCTGAGAATGGCTATAACATGCATTTTATGTTGTTGAAATTATGCCAAAAAAGGCCTCCTTTGAATATCAGTTATGTATATTGTTATTTTGTAGATATTTCAAAGCTGTCATAATATATATATATTTAAGAGTTTGAATGTACATAGTATTCAAAGTGCTGATCAAATTTTTAGCTAATAAGCCTTTTCTGTTACAGAAAAAAAATGTTATTGATGTAAATTTTTGATATGTGATGAAATTCTCAGAGAAATATTTTATTGGAAACATTGCCTAATTCTGAAATGTACTGAATTGCCACATTTATTGATGTAGCAAGTAACCGTCCATGAGATTACCAAAAGAAGAGGTACAGTACCTGCCTAGCTTTTGCTGCCTATTATCATTGTCTGTATTTGTAAGATTGACAGACTGCATAGAAATCCAAGATATGAATTGTTGAAAGCATTCCATGAAATTAGAAGTACATTGATGAAATTTGACGCATATCATTTTACTTTGATGATTGGACATTTAAATTGGTACTCCAATGGGGCTATCAAATTTTAAAAGAAATGATCAAATATATTTATAATCTTTTATCGTGATATACTGGATGATTACTAGTGTGTGTACAGGACATGAACTTAGAGAATAATAATTCTTACCAGCTGACTGTAACTTCTTGATGAAAAGTTCTTGTTTTCGTCATTGAGTAATGATATCAGAACAAACAATGACTAACTGTACTTTTTTGAATTAATGAGCTAATAATATGATTAGGTTAATTACTGGACGGGTGTATTATACAGAATCACCCTAGCATGGGAAGCTAAGTTGGATTTTTGTCTCGTCAATATTATGTTATGCCTTGCCTAACAATGCCATTGTTATACATGTATGTATTTTCTATATTAATCTGACCTTTTCAAGTGACTAATTAATCCTGTTTTGAGAGATTTAATGAAAACCTTGAATTTATTGCCTTGGTAAGCTCTCTGAATAGCAGATGCATCCTGTATTTCTATGAGGTTTTTTAATAATTTTAATGATACTGCCATTATTTTTTAAGTATAATAGAAAAGGATAAATTGTTATTAGTCTGATAGATTCATATCCACTTTTAGACTTCTTTTTAATTATAGTCCCCACCAAAGGTTTTTTTTTTTTTTTTTTTTACTTAGATGATGGTGATTTCTGGTAATGAAGAAACACTGGAATGAAATTTAATGAATACATTCTTATTTTGTTCATTATTATTATCATCAGGGCTGTGCACAATTATGTTTTAATTACATTGTGTCCATATATTCAGTGAAAAAAGACAGTGGTTTTAATCTTGCACCGGTCAAATAGTCTCATTCAAAATGTCGGCTGAGCCCAATATCCACTTTATAGCACTTCAGTTTTACCATCCTTTAGAAGACAACCCCCCCCCCCCCCCCCAAATCATTGACACTGCTGTGAATGTCTTCAAAGTATTCATAAATTCAGACCAACGCACAGTGGGCCAGGGAGGAACCAAAGTGCGCCAAAACTAAATTTGGGTGATTTATTTTTATGCCTCCGTTACGAAGTAGCCGGAGGCATTATGTTTTCGGGTTGTCCGTCCGTCCGTACGTCCGTCCGTCCGTCCGTACGTCCGTCCGTCCGTACGTACGTCCGTACGTCCCGTTCTCGTGATCGCGTTATCTGAAGAACCGATTCATGGATTCCTGCCAAACTTTGGTCATGTATGTATCTTGCAGAGCCGATGAACTGATTAGATTTTGGGGTCACAAGGTCAAAGGTCAAAGGTCACAGGGCTCATTATGTATGCAAAAACAGCTCGTGATCGCGTTATCTGAAGAACCGATTGATGGATTCCTGCCAAACTTTAGTCATGTATTTATCTTGCAGAGCCGATGAACTGATTAGATTTTGGGGTCACGAGGTCAAAGGTCAAAGGTCACAGGGCTCATTATGTATGCATAAACGGCTCGTGATCGCGTTATCTGAAGAACAGATTGATGGATTCCTGCCAAACTTTGGTCATGTATTTATCTTGCAGAGCCAATGAACTGATTAGAGTTTGGGGTCACGAGGTCAAAGGTCAAAGGTCACAGGGCTCATTATATATGCAAAAACAGCTCGTGATCACGTTATCTCAAGAACAGATTGATGGATTCCTGCCAAACTTTGGTCATGTATGTTACTTGCAGAGCCGATGAACTGATTAGATTTTGGGGTCATGAGGTCAAAGGTCACGCGGCTCATTATGTATGCAAAAATGGCTTGTGATCGCATTATCATTAGAACAGATTGATGGCCGGATTCCTGCCAAACTTAGATCATGTATGTATCTTGCAGAGCCAATGAACTGAGTAGATTCTTGCGTCATGAGGTCAAAGGTCATGGCTCATTATGTATGCAAAAATAGCTTGTAATCACGATATTTTGAGAACCTGTTAATGGATTACAAATGAACTTGAATTTGAAAAATTTCTTCTGTTTTGGTTGGTAAAATTGCTCTATGACGGAGGCATCATTTTCGACTGCGCGCAGTCGAATTCCATCTAGTTTTAATTTTGTTTCTTGCCCAGTTGAAAGGTAATACATAGAGGAGTACCTCAGTGAAATATTTAATTCCGGTATGCACAATAAGGGTATAAATTTACTACTTTAAACAGCAAAATCCTACATATTCACAGTTTTAGTGCAAAAGTGACTTTTTTAAAAATCTTTCAATTCAACAAGAAGTTTTTAAGTTATTGATATGAAATTGCTCTCACATATTCCTGATAGTTCATTTCGTTGTATGAATGGGTTAAAATTAATAGAAACACAATCTTCATGATATATTATATGGTAATTCACTGAAAAATGGACTAATTATCCATGTTTTTTATAAATCCAGAAGAAATGTTTAGATCTCCGCGGTGTACCGCTTAAATTTTATTACCACCATGTCCTCTGATGTCTAAGCTTTAAGTTAATACCAAATTTGGCTGCCCGATCTTGCCCGTTGTTATGTTAGAGCCGATTTTCCTTGCCACATTGCCCCGAAAAATGTGGGTTTTTGGGGTCCGCGGCTGAATCATGAAGGATTCATGGTCATAAATCACGGCGCGAGGGGGCGCGTAACACTTGTTCTGACACCGCGGACCAAAATAAACACATTTTTCAGGGCAATGTTGCAAGGAAAACGGCTCTAACATAATAACGGGCAGAATCGGGCAGCCAAATCTGGTATCAACTTAAAGCTTAGACATCAGAGAAAATGTTGGTAATAAAATTTAAGCGAAAATCCCTGGAAATCCAAACATTTCCTCTGGATTTATAAAAAAGAAATCCCCAAACATGAGTTTTGGCGCACTTTGGTTCCTCCCTGGCCCACTGTGCAACATGGGCAAAAATTTAGACCAAATTCTTTTTATTAATCACAGATTTTATTTATGTTTGATATGAAATTTAGGATGTCTTTGAGGCCAAGTAACTAATGCTGTTTAAAATGGGAAGTTCTTTCATATGAAACCTAAGTTTGAAAGAATGTTTGTCACCGAATATCCATCTTACCTGTACTTGACCTTTTCTAAGACAAATCAGTTGTTTTTACAAGCACCACCACACATTTTATGCTTGCACAAAGGTAACCTCTAGCGAATGGAAGTTATTAATAGATGATATGACGATGATACAAATGTTTACTGTTTTATTTGAAGCCATGTTGCAGAACAATATGGTAAAAAATGATTTCATTGTGCTAATATACATTACCTGTTGTAGTGAATATACTGATAGAAATTGTATGCATTTTTAATGAACAGCATTCATTCCATCAACAATACAGATGTGCTTTTAGTGTAACATGCAGGTAGTATGACTTCTAATGGGCTTTAATATCATTATTTTGTAATTCCCAGGACTTTAAAATTCCAACTGTGCTTCGAGCTATGCACACATAGTTTTAATTGGTTGACTTGAACTGAATGAAGAAAAAAATGCTGTCTCATGTATGTACATGTACATGCTTTCAACACAATAGCGAAGACTTTCGAAAAATCAACCTAAGGGAAGGTCGTTAGCCTTATCCATCGCTTCATGAAATGTGCGAACATTACAAAAGCGTTTTATGTACCTGGTAGTCAGAACGTGATTTTTCATTGACAACAGATTTTTGAAATTGCCCTTGAGTAGATTTCTCCAGAGTCTTTACTATTGTGTTTTTTCAAAGCCGATACATATGTGAGCTACATGTAGGAACAATGCAGCATTGTCGTGCTAATTAAGAAATATTTACAAGCAATATATTGATGTGCTAAATAGGGTTATACATGTAAGGTGCTATAGCAGCAATTTATGAATATAATACTTCCAGCATTGTCCTAGTACTGGTGCCTAGATCATATGGGATGCAATCTCATTATACTTTACACACATTTGAATGTCATGTGAATCATTGCTTGCCACTGTCAAAGCCTTAGACAATGCCTCTGTAATATACAATGCCTCTGTAATATACAATGTTTATTTCTAGTTATTCAGTGCCTTAGAGATGTAGAGAGAGGCTGGATTGTGACTTCAGTGGTTGAAAGAAAGCTTCTAGATTCAATTATATATTACTGGCTTATGTTTAGTGTAAGCCAGGTTGAGTTATATATGTACATACTCTGTAAAGGAAAATTTCCTCTGCCCCCGCCATTGGATGAAAAGCAATGTGTTACAGACAACATAAACATTTGGTCACTCTTTCTCCTAGTGTTAAAGGGTGTACCAATCACCAAAAATATTTTGTTCTGTATGTTAGGGATTTCATGCGGCTATACAATATTAACAATATGAGCTATGACTATGAATTCTATTGCAAGTTTTAATAAGTTTACAATTTAAAACAAAATGGTGTATGCCCCAGCATAGAATAGCTAGGGCTTGCAAGGATCCCGAGTCGGACTTGGGTACTATGCATAGGATTTGATGTAATTTTATTCTTATTTATTGTTCATTAGCCATTGCCCATAGAATGCAGGGTAAGTTTTGTTGAGGTTAACTTTATACATTAACAGTTAGGTGATTTACATGATGACTTTTCATGTTTTAACACAGGTTTTTCTTTTCTAAAGCAATTTTGTATAAAGGTAAATTTGACCTTATCAATGACAAGAGTAAGTTGTGGGAACATGACTTATTTTCTGCACACTCATGTTTTTTCTGTTTTCAGTGGTCTTAAAGTGTGCTGTGTTTCTATGTGACTTTATAATTGAAAAAGAAAAACATTATTATATTTGTATCGGTGTTACTAATAGTATCAGTATAGTATTGCATACACAGCATCAATCGAAGTGTGTTGATGTGTGTTTGTTAAATTCACAGAATACTTAAGGACAAATGTTGTATTAGTTGACTTAGTGATCAATTTATGAGTTACTGTTCTGAGTGAATGTATTACAGGTATCTGCGAGACATCATTAGTATATTGAGGAAAGGTGTACAGTTAAAGTGACCTCTTGTATTTAAGAACTCAAGCAAACAGGCAGCCTAACTTTATTACTGCTTTTGGTTTAAAAGAGTTTTAAAAAAAATATAATAACAGTACCAATTTTTAGCATTGTTATGTCCACCTCACACTATTCAGGTACATGTAACCAGACCTTGATATGATTTATGTTGAGGTGATGAATAATTGTAAAGATGTCAATGTTGGATATTGGAAGCCTTTCATGCAGAGAATGGGCCCAATGAGTTACTAATCAGGAGCACATTAGTGATAGATCGCATATAACTCTCATTCTTAGTTTATTGAAGGTTACAGAAATGTATACATCAGTTGTTTATATTTATATGACTATCGACCACTTTGACTATTGACCTCCATGAGGTCATTTTTAAAATGATGACCTATTACATCTTGCCCTGAAGGAAATTGTTCTAAATTTTTCCAGACTCTGTAAGACATTTAGCTTAGGAATTGATTGTATGATTGAATAATCGGTTGTACAATCAATTGATTGTATATAATGTTCATTTGTTAAATAATAATCACTTGTGAACTTATCTTCATGTTACGAGGCCAGGAGATAATAGTTTCATGTAGCCTTTTAACCAGCCAACTGTTATGCTGTGATAATTGTTAAAGGTTCTGACTACTTTTATGCTTCTCAACAGCTTCAATGTGTCTTACCCTGCTCTGAAAGAAAAGGATCACGGCCTGTATTCCTTTTGTTGGAGGTCAACTGCCCCAATGTCACAAGATATCATACAAGACCATGCATTGGATATGTTATGATATTATAATGATGTATATTTATTTATATAGATTTTTATGAGCACATTTATCTTGCACTTGAATCAGCTGCACCTGTAAAACTTTGGTTCTTCCATTGTGCCTGTACTATACACCTTGCCATGCACGTTGAATTATATTAAAGCACTCAGATTTGATGTAAAATTAATTAGTCGTGTCCC